CGCGATTTCCGGCGCAGTCCGTTTCCGTTCCGGGTCCTGGCGCTCGAGTTTTCCCGTTGGGCCGTCGGCGACGCGCTCGGGTCGCTGATCGCTCCTTCCATTTCCCTTTTCCCGGCTTCCTCTCCGGCGACTCCGGCTTCGTGTGAAGCCAAGTGAAGTGCCGCGCCACGACTCCCGCCGCATCACTCAGGATGGATCAGTGACCTCGAGGTTATATTTAGCCATTTGTCTCTCAATTCATCTCGGAATCGTGGATCCGAGGTAAACCCCGCCCCCCCTCCCTCGTCGGCACCACGATCGACGGGGCTTCCTACCGTTCCTCATCGCCAATTGCCGCCGTTACGGCCAGAAAAGTAAACCCNGGGGGGGGGGGGGGGTGGACCTCCTGGATCCCGTCCCCCGTGACCCGAAAAATGCTATCCAAAAAGTTCATCGTTCGTGATTTGTGTGATGAGGATTGGGCGAGGGGGTAGCCCCTCCCCCGGGAAAATTTTAGGCAGAGGGGAAGACCTCCTGCAATCCACCCTCCGTGACTCGAAAAATATTTCCCGAAACGGTCATTGTCGGGTGATTTGTGTGATGAAAATTGGAGTCATGGAGTTGCCTTCTTCCCTAACCCCGGAATGATACAGATCGGGGGGAGGGGGTGTCTTAGAGCCCACCTCACGCAACCCGAAAAATGTTTTCCAAAAAGTTCTGGTTAGGTACTTCAATCTGGATGAATCTCATCGAATTTTCGGGATTTATCGAAAAATTGAGCAATGATTTGTTCCAGTTCGAATATCTTGATCAATATTTTCTGTGACAGGGTATTTCGCACTTTGAAGAGATTTGGTGGGTTCCAATAAAAAAGGGGCCCCGATAAAAGAGGCTACAGAACAATATTTTCTGTTCAGTTCTTTAATAAGCCCTACTGCAATTAGCTTTTCATATAAGCTGGGCAGGTGAATAGACTGGGTGATACTGATTCACTGTTGGGGAACCAAGCTTTTGCAACATAAGCTTACAGTATGGTAATAAGTCCAATTTCAACATTTCTTGTACTGTCTTAGGTGCTGGTTTAGGTCTTAGCGCATTAGTAATGTGGCAAAAACTTTCACATTTGTCAATTTTCATATTTCTTGTTACTTATTTGGATTACTTAGTTAACTTTTTTTTTTTTTTAAAAAAAAAAAATAAAATTAAGTACCAGTTTTTCTTTGGCCTCAAGTCAAGCTTTATAAGAGTAAAACTAGAAATGCTCTTAAAAATAAGCCCCAAAACAGCAACAAGAGATGTGAAACGTCCCAAGATTAATCAAATACACTTTTTTTTTCAAACATAAAATAAGACAAAAAAAAAATTTATAGAAATTATCTGTTCAAAGGTTGATGGCGGTCAAAAAGGTTGATGAAAATAAATAGTTACATATATTAATCGGTTAATGTCAGGTTCAAAAAAGTCTCGTTCAGCAGCTTCTCAGAATTGATGAACATTGACCAACAGCAGCCCACTGTGCCCTTCTGAACACTTTGATTTGAAAAAAAAAATGAAATGATGTCTACTCAGGATTAGCACTGTCAAAACATGAAACATTCAGGCAGATCCAGGAGGGCCTGAAAAGGGCTCAAAAGCCTCTCTTCCTTGGGTAGAAAGCTCAGAGTCGCTACTGCCAGAGCGCACAGGTATTGGGCTACTTTAAAAATTGTTCATACCCCTACATATATGTTATGATTTTCAAACTGTTTCCAAACATTACCTCCCAGAAGAAAAAAAGTACGCATATTTTCAATTGAAAAAGGAAAGAGAAGACCACGCTGTTTTCCTACTTTCAGAATAATACTTCGAACTAGCCTCAAAAATTTGATCAGAGATCATAATACTCTGCCAGGCTACTCAATAACTTCTTAAGTAGTTGCAGTGAAAGGACATGGAGAGTCAAATTTAAGCAGCAGTACATGTGTATCATAGGGCTCATATTGTCTGAACAACACACTATCTCGGTGCAGAATACCAATACACGCGCATTAATACTGATGAGAATGGAAGCAAATGAAAAAGAAAATTTTTTACCAGCTCCAATGTTTTTTCAAAGGTAGAAAAAATGTAAGAAGGCAGCCCAAACAGCATGTCGAAAAGATCATGCACTTAACTATTCCTGACCTGAGGTCGATTAAAATGTTACTTCAGTCGATCCCGCACATGGATTAAATATTAGCCTGTGTCATTAAAAAGGTTAGGTGGATGGAAATCTAACATATGTAGGTCGGTTTTAGACATCAAGTTTGCACGAAACCACCTAAAGTCTGAATAGGTAGGAAAAGCACATCGAAGCCTAGGGTGTTAGAAGTGGCACAAACGTGTCATTCCCACGACCTGGCCAAAAATAATCGGAGAAGATTGTAAGATAAAATTTCATACAACTGTCTGCCGAAGGCGAAAAATCAGTCTTCAAACCGCATTCAGTAAAAATAATAAAGAAGTCAAACCCCAACACGGCTGTTCATAGTCTAACTGAATCCAAGTTTGTGAGGTTAAGTCAATGAGCAGGCGTTAGTTACAGCCTGTATTTCAAGAGAAGGGGTCGAGAATTTGATTCTTTGATCATTAAGAGGAATTGCCGACGAAATATCGAGGTGAAACTTTAAATAAATGCATACATTTCACTACTCAGAGGATAGAACCATAAGTCTGCAGGCAGGAGAAGAGCCCAAAGTAGAGCAGACACATCAGTACAGTTGCTGATGCCTGCAGAGTTCGAGAATCAGTTTTTGTTCAATTTGTAAAGAAAGTAAGCAAATCAGGAAGAAAGGAGGGTGATTGGTTCTTCAGTTTACTCAAGCAAGTTAGAATTTAGTAGGTGCCACAAAATCGAGAAAAACACGGAAGGCGCTAATTAGGGTGGCCATATATAAGAAAAAACAAGCCATAAACGGTGCTCACCCGACATGTTATAAAGAACTACTATAATAAAGTTTCAGTGACTCTTATGTTTTATGCTTACCTTTGAATATAGCACAGCTAAAAATAACTAAATTAGGGTGAAAAACTAAGTAACCGATAACGTTTAAAATGAAAACAATTCACTGGGGGTACGAGGTAGGGTACCGAGAATTTCGCGACCACTGCAACTAACTAACCTCCGGTGTCAAATTTCACCCATTTCGCCTTTTTTTTGTCCGACACAAAACATCCTCGCTTCTGCGCAGACGCGCGGGAGTCTTCGTTAGTGTGACGTCATTGAAGCGCGCGAAAACTCAACAATGGTTATTTTTTTAAAAACGCGCACAATTTTCCTTTTTTAAATAGCGCATGGCGACGGTGAAAGCCGTCAAAAGATGCATCTCGATTGCGTTGTTTGAAAGCTTGTGCTATTTTCAGGGCTGGATTTACATTTTTAGCACCCTCGGTTAAATTTTGGTTAGGTTCCTTATAAGTAAACCCAATGAGGGAGGGCCTCCGGACTCCCCTCCCCTCCTTTACAGGACAGAAGAAATAAGTTATTTCAGTGTGAGAAAATTTTTTCGAATTCACCTTTAAAAGAGTGCAATTTAAAAAGCTAAAGGTGCCCAGTTGGTACATTTTGATACCAGGAATAAGTTGATTTTGGAAAATTAGAAGGGACTAAAAATTCTCCTCGCCTCAGAGGGTGCTACCTAACTATTTCACGGCAATTCCTTCATAATAATAATGTTTCTTAACTTAGAAAATCATCAATCAAGAGAAATGCGATGAATTGATACGGCCTGCCACAACTTAAAGCTAGCAGGCCTGCACCTGTTTTTTGATCCATTCTTTTCTATGCTCCTTCGTCTGAATTAAATTGACCAATGACAGATGAAGGAAATATATTACCTCGTCAACCACAAGGGCACAACATAGAAATTTTTTAATACAAAGGTATTTCGTTTTTGAATACAATCTCAAAAATTTTGCATCCTGGGCCTCAGCCTTTTTCGCTGACTGGCAAATTTTGCCTTGGCTGTTTTTATATTGTTTTAAAGGAAAACCAATGAACACTAAATACTTACTGTTCGTAATATTAAAAAAATTGTCCACAAAGGATGATGGAAAATCTCTGAAAATTTCAAAAAGACGTCAATTTACGAGACATCAAAATAATCAATGTACATTTTTGGGACTTTCACCATCGGTCCTCATGGGTAATTTTTTCTGCTTCCTTCACCCGCAATAAAATGGACTGCATTTTGCAATAAGGAGCTGCACTTACTTCTTTTATGTCCCTTAGCATGTTGCATCTATTAATAAATAAAATGTTTGTACTATGAATATTCCCATGAATATTGACAGTGAAACTGCAGGAATGTGTATCTAGGTTTGCAATATTGCAAGCTTCTTGTCTTATTTACTTTATTTTTTAAATGGAAAAATATACAATATCATTCCTTGAAAATTTCCCTGATTTCTCTTCTTTGTGTGAAGCTTAGTCAAGGAAAATTTGAAGCAATAGCGTTGATTTGTTCTGCTTTGATAAAGTGAAATGAAAGCATAGATGAAAGATAGAGATACAGCTAAGGAGCAAAGGAAATTTAATTTAATTACTTAATATACTTTAATTTACACCAAAAAAAAGTGAAGTTGATTTAACATCCTGGATGTAAAATAAGTGTGCGAGAACTTATAAAATGTTGAATTATCGGCTACAGCAGTTAGTTTTACATCTTGGCATTATTAAGGTAACTGCTGTAGCGGGTAATTCAGCATTTTTTAAGTTCTCGCACACTTTTTTTACACCCAGAATGTTAAATCAACTTTACTTTTTTTTTCAGTGTAGATATTTGTCTCAAAGATTAGATTGATAAATTTCTATTTTAACTTGACAAATTACTAATGTTATCTTCTAGCTAAATCTTCATCAATTTAAAAAACCAATTGATTTTTTGAACTTCAATAGCTTATGTTCATAAAGATAATTATACAAAAAAGTAGAATTTGAAGGCCAAAATTCAACTGTGGGATCATACTAGAGGAAAATTTGAGACAACGGAAAAAAAGAAATCTCTTAGTTCGAAATCTTTAATGACGAAGCAATCATGACTAAAAGAAAATGTTTCAGCCATGGGCTACCCTTTATCAGACTAACAACAATTATAGAAAATTCCAGGATCATCTGACTAGTAATCTCCGTCTCCTCTGTCTCCATTCTTGTCATGATCCTCATCATGTCTGCCATCATCATCATCTTCATCATCGTCATCATCATCATCGTCTTCATCATCATCATCGTCATTGTCATCATCATCATCAAAAAACAAATCAGAGTCAGAATCAGAACTGCCTAAGTCATCACCTCCGCCCGTCATGCTTCCAAATACTCTTCGTTTTCCACCGACCATTCTGGAACCTGTTCACAGAAGAATTAATTTATGAGAGGTTCGTGTTATGTAAGCCCACATTGGTTTGCCATTTACTTCTGATATAAGTATTTTTTTCTCCCTAAAAATCTCCTTAAAAGGTAGCTTTATAAGTAACCTTTTTCATGCAGATGCTTTTGTCCTAACGTTACTTAAAGGATTCTCTGTTGCATCAAGTAGGTAGCATTGAAAAAACAAGAACGACTTGACATCTTCCAGTGCTACAAATAAATAGTCAAGGTGGTAAAATGGTGCTGGGCTCACACTATTTTGCGGGGAAAACAAGGCCATATAGTTCACAAATTTTAACTTTAGTCAAAAAGTTTAAGCTTTAATGAGTACCAGCACAAGACTGAGGGGGAGAATGTTCAGCTCAGGCAAATAAAATGATAAATATCACTTTCTTGATGCTTTTTTCCAATGTTATGATGGAATCGGAATCTCATTATGACTGGATCAGCCTAATATAATGATCGCTTTAAAACATTATTCATGCTCTCAATTTCTTTTCATTTTTTAAAAATAACATTCTGCTCAAAAGATAATAAAGTGATTCAGTACCTGTGCCAGCAGTTTGTGCTCCATTAGCGGCCTGCCCTTCATCTTCGATTGTTCCATCAAAAAGTTTTGCAGCTGCTTCTTGACGCATTTTTTCAACCAGTTTTCTTGTTTCCTCCTAGAAAGCAACAAGCAATTTGACATTGATTTGAATACAGTGCTGTTTTATTGTTGTACATGCTGGTTATTATTCTCTCTCCCTATCCCAGACCTCTGCGGGTTTATATTTAAATTTTATAGACAAAGCGATAGACAAATGAGACATAGAGAGTATGGAGCGATCCTATCGGTTCAAGTGGGTGGTACCTATAGACTAAGGGTGTAAATGATGTTTATAACTAAAGGGTCTCTCGTGAGTTGCCGTTAGTTAGTCTATTACCTACCTCCTTTGTCCATCGCAATCACCCGCTTCCACCAATAGGGACCCTCCATATTTCTTTCGTCTTCTTTGTCTATTGCTTTGTCTATCAGTTTCAATAATCACTCCTCTGCTCTTACCTTCCTGGGACTCTTCATTTTTTCCCATTTTAACATAATTTCATGAAGGAGGAGATTTAATTTTATTAGAGGTATTAAAGCCATATTGACTCGATTATTTCTCTTTGCCCTCTTAAGAGAAGAATTTTGAAGTCATTCTCCAAAAAAAATATAAGTTTGTACATACCTACTCTACAATATGATGCCAAGACAAAAGCGTCTAATATTTTGATGATGGCAGGGAAATAAAATTTTCATTGAATGACAAATAATAACTTTTGGCATAATATGTCATCTAATTTTGTATAGATGGAGTAATATATCACAAAAACAAACTTAAAAAATTTGCAAAATAAACTTGATGAGTGCACAGGAAAAAAGAAGAATTTTTTACAAGTCTAAGAAACTAAAAGTAGGAAATAAAGGTTTTTTGCCAAATGAGAACAATGTCTCACTTAATTGGAATTTTTTTACTTTCAAGGAGAGAATACCTTGCAAGATGTCATGGACTTATTTGCTAATTTTTATAGCTGTATTCACCAGCCCAGCCTGGCCAATATGGTTTTCCATCAGCATCCATCTCTTGCGACTGTAGGCTCTTTTTTTATAAGCAATTGATGTAGTACAGGGAGTGCAGTTCCTTCCTCACAAACCATTTTTAATAGATCATTGCAAGAATGATTTGGACTTGCACAACACTAACGGTACAGCACTTGATACGTACAAGTCTGCTGCCCAGCATCAGTGCAACAATTTGACGATGGAACTTCAATGGGACACCCTTAGTCACAGCATTATGTCGCCTTCGGTCGCCACCTTACATGAAGGTCTTGAGTGCTTCAGGTGCTGCACCATAAGATACCTTCATAAAATTTTCACCCCCTCTAAAATTCAGAGGGAAAATTTCAACTTAGAGCTCAATAAAAAACTGAGGATTTTTTGTTTGCTCCTTGCGCTTCTAACTCGATGGGGCCCTCTATCGCCACCTATCGTTCTATGGTTCTTAATGATGGAACATTGCCCTAAACAGTGGCGTAGCTATTCGGAGGAATTCTTTATGGGGGGGGAGGTGTCCAGACCCCCTGGACACCCCCCCCCCCCCCGGTCTACGCTACTGGCCCTAGATAATAATATTCTTGGTGAAACTTACATGTTTAGCATCAATCCTAGATTGTGTTGCCTGCTCAAATTCTTCAAGTTGTTGCTCTAAATAAGCTACACATCTGTATCTCACAACATAAGCTTCATACAGTTCTTTAAAATCCTTCTCAAGTTTTTCGTACTCTTCCAAAAATGATGGTCTGAAAGGACAAAGGTTGCAGTTTTTACCAATCAATGTTTAGAAAATAATCAGCAATAAAAAAATTCACAAGACACTTGGTTTTTTATACTGGCCTGAATCCGATCAATGAAAATGGAAAGTGAAAAGTGGTTTTTACACCACCAAAATTTTTTCTTCTCAGTAGAAATCAGAGGTGAGACAGCAAGGACAGGGAATAAATGCGGAGAATTAACAATAGAATCCAAGGAGTAATTAGGTTTTCACTCTCATGTTTAAAAATCATGGTAGCGAACATATGAAGCATTACATGAAAGAATAGCAGATGTTAAGTTTTTGGGTTTTGAGAAAATTGCGTTTGAAGTTTTTGAACCTTTGTACTTTGAAGCTCCTAGAATTAAGGAGATTCCGATAAAGTTTTTCGTAATAAGTAGCACTTCTTCTGCCTTGATGATTTACATAAGTGCAAAGTTGAGTGAATTACAGCGATTTGCCGAGAAAGTGAAATCCGCTGTTTTTATGTAGGACACTTCTTTCGCAACCAAAACTTGATCTTCAGAAGACAAGTGCATTGAGATAAGATTGAAATCAACACAAATATGATCACTGCTCAGCGTATAATAAAATGTGAAATAAAAAAAAGAACTTTCAGTAGCTTCATTAGAAAATAGGAAACAATTGTACTCTTGTCCTCCTTTTGAGGAAAACCAATGAAAAGTATTCTCACCACAACAACCAATGTTGCTGGTTGTGTCCCAATTAAACTTAACTGCCACCTGTTTCAGAAATAAGACTTGACGCCTATGTCATATGTAAAACCAACCGCTGTTTTGACAAAATAATGATATGTCTTTGGGCCATTGCACGCTGGCAAATTACGCTGAAAGTCTGAAACTTGACTCATCCTCTTGAAGAGTTGATGATTTGAAAAAGCTGTTATCCTTGATAATGGCCTATGTCAGCATCCAAATTTTACAAACAGTGCTTCAAATAAATCTGCCTACCTTTTCTGACTAATGTTGCAAGAAGCTCATGGCCATGTGTCAAATTTCCCGTAGTGGAAGACTGACTTAGAGCATTTTAAATTACATTTAAAGTTACATCAAACCAGTAGAAATTTGGAAATCATACCTAACTTTTTTTAAGGACTCCAGTCTTTTTTTGTTGCGTTCTAAATCTACCTGTCGCTTCTCTATTTTCACATCTAAACTTGCTTCAGTTGTGGCTATGTTCTCAATCATCTGCTTTGTCTGCGTGACAGTATTATTCAAATTTTTTATTGACTGCTTCAGACCACTTTCAATACTTGATATGTCTAGCGGCATGTTTACCTTTGTGTACCTAGCTTCCTGTAAAAATAAATTTGAGCTCTTAGTAATGAATTTAAAGAGATAAATTTAAAGAGTAAAATCTATTAGTATCTACCAGTTGGAACATGTAACCAGATATACTTCAGTAACATATTGGGAATGAATAAAGCAGTTCCAGTTTCTTTATTTCACAGAGATTGAGACCCGAAAAAATTTTTTTAATGGAGTCATTTTGTAACTGAGGGTTAGTATAAACACGGCAAAATTTCAATTTTTGAGAGTCCCAGGCTTAAAATATTTCATTTAAAAATTCCGGTTCAGCTTGAAATTTAGATAAAATCACTCTAAAAAAATTCACAGATTCATAAATTTGAAAGTGGTTGACTCTCTGATGTGATGACTGGATCCATGTGTCAATTCAAACATTTTTATTCCAATTTGACCTGCCAATAAGGCTCCTGAGGAGTTTAACGGCTGCATCATGTTCGCTTGCTTTACAGCTTTAATTTACAAAGCAATCACTATCAGTGCAGTGAACGAAGTTATTACCGAATCTCATGAAACGCATTAGTGTTTAAACCTCCTTAATTGAAAGAGGAAGACACTCTTAGAATCTTAGAGAAAAGCAAAATATTCAAACTTACTCGTAATTCTAGTTCCTGTCCAAGTAACTCATAAAGAGAGGCACCGTCAATAGCTATCCTTGAGGAAAGTTCTCGGACTGTTTTCAGATCCTGAAACTGAAGATAAAAAGTCTTTGCTAAAATACCGGCATAATTAGTTATGTCTAGACACAAAAATATTTTATTCACTTTTCCACTCCTTTTACGGCCAGAACAAGGAAAGACTTGCCTGATACAGAGACAAGAAAACTATTTTCTGACAGAAACAAGCTGTAAAATTATACGCATGATGCCCCACATGAGTGAAGAAGAAAATTATTTTGAGTCCGAAACAAAAACATGAAACTCCAATTATATCTTCACACTTTTCCCAAGATTAATCAAAATGATAAGGGGAATAAAAAAATGAGAAATCATACTAGATTTTATGAGATTTGAACTCATCGCATCGTCGTCTGGCACCAAGAACCTACTCCGAACAACTTAGAGTTCCTGTCAGATAGATTGGCAATTGCTTTTTTATACCTATGTCCGTAGGCAACTGAATCATGTACCTGCTCACAGCAATAACAACAGCGTCTTCGGTCAATCCTCAGTTGCGAAATAACGGCAGCAGCACAGCTGTATGCTAACTGGAAGGAAACAACTGCCAACATATTTGACAGGTGCCCTAAGTTAATAAAAATTTCACTTTCCTTCATATTTAATGTTCAATTTTCATTATGCATGATTTTACTTGCCTTGGTTCTTTCTTGTTGCTATAAGTTATGATAGACTCCTAAGCTTGGATTGGTTTAAAGATGCATTTAACGCTGAACCGGCCCTTGACCTATTTTGTAATTAACAGCAATTTGCGTACCGTTTTGGTGTCAGGAGAGATCAGCATAAAGAGACTGCTTATCCACCTTAATGAAATTTCAGCATTATTTAAAAAGCGTACAAGATATTGAGTGGAAATTGTTTTTGGAGGAAAAGAAAGGAATGAAAAATATTGGAGTACATACATTACCCGTTAAAGGAACCCTGCTGGATGATTTGACACTATCGGTGTTCTTTGTGCTACTATTCTTCAGTGCTTTGTAGATAAGGCTTGTTATTTTCAGGAGTTCTTTTACGGCATGACCATCTGCTTGGTACAATCGTTTTGTATTTAGTTTAATTCCTGCTTTAACGGCCTTAGAAGATGAACATGAAAACGAGTAAAAAAAAAAAAATACTGTATATTATAATGTAAAAGTTGTAAGTCATTTAAAGATGAGCTTTTTAAGCTACAAAAAATAAAACAAATTTTGAATTATTTAAAACTTTTGGTAAAAGCGGTGTATCTAGTGAAAAGAAGTACGTACACATATTGATTGAAAAATTAATATGCCGATTTTTCCACTTTTTTTTTTTTTTTTTTTTTTTTTTTTTTTTTNCAAGGGCTAATCCCACGCTTTAAGTCCCATCCCCCCTCCGTCCCTACTGAACCAGCCCCAGGCAACCATTGTTTGAGACCATCAAACTCGGGTCGCCTGGCCGGGAATCAAACCCGGGACCTCCCGATTATAGAGCAAGCGCTACAACCACTACACCATAGGAGGCCGACGAAAGAGGGAGGATGTGAGTGAACGTTCCCCTCTTGTTTTTGCATGCCAATGATCATAATTGTGAGGCGTCTTGTCCGAGGTCAACAAAATACGTGTCAACAGTGAAACTTCCAAATCAAATATCTTTTTTGCAATGTTTTGGAATCCTGCTCTTATGTTACTTTATTCAAGAACAAATCAACATCATTCTCTAGAGTTTCCACAGAATTTTCTAATATTGGAGAAGAAAAGTCTTGCAAGATTTTAAAAATTTACATTGAGTAACTTCCCATTTAAAAAGTAAAGTAAAACAGGAAGTCTAAAACATTGCTAATTTACATGGTTTGAGAGTTTCACCGTCCGTATTGTGTAGATTGTTGTGAACTTAGACCAATGAAAATAAATAAAACAAAAAAAATGACAAAAATAAAAAATAACACTCATTCTGTTTGAGATTCTTAAGGGTTTTCAGCATACCTTGGACCAAGAAATAAAATTGTACTTGTCATCTTGATGAAATGACACTTTAAATTATTCAAACATTTCTGTGATCATGTAAAATTTCAGTAAATATTCTCACCATGAATTCAGCAATACTCCGTACCAAGGCAACTCGTTGCTCCTCGGTGTCATAGTCTGTAGAGATACTGGCGACTGGATCAAATCTATAGACGAGCCACACTAGAATTTCCGCAACAAGACAGAAATTGGGGTTCTGGAAATTTTCTATGGAAATTAAACGTGGATACCCCAAGACACGCATCATTTCTGTAAAGTCTAAGAGAAAATCAATGGCAGAAGGTCAATGACAAGATGATGACTTCAATTTTCGGGTAAAATGAAAAGAAAGAAACTATACGTGATTCTGATTGTGAATGACTTTCGAGCAAAGTCGTTCTAGACTCTGATTAGAGGTACTGTATCATTTGAATAAGGGCTCATGAATCTGAGCCAATACTGAGTAATCTCAAAAAAATTTTATGAGTTTTAAAATTATGGATGTATTTTGATATATATTATTGTGTAATGAATCTTTAACTACGCAGAGCAATGCTAGTTTCAAGGATCGATGACTTCAATTTCCTCTCTTTGTTTCCGTTTTTTTAGACACTATCTGCGAATAATGAAGAGTGAAAATAAAAAAATAAATTCTCAAAGTTACTTCCAATCTTTGAAGGATGAAAAGCTGATGGTTACATACCTCTTACTTCTCGATACGACATGGTGCAGTTGACAATCAAGAATTTCAGTTGTAAAATTCATTTACAAAAATCAGTCAATGTCAAATTTATGAATTAAATACGCAGAGTTTGCAGAGTAAATTCTGTATGGCAGGATAAAAAAAAAAAAAAAAAATCGGTTGGAGTCCCAAGGGAATGGAATTCAGGGTCCAAAGCCACTCTAACCTAATGTGTGGCAGGGTATTTCATATTTGTTTTGTGTTGACTTGAGAGAAGGGATAAGTTGCCATGGTAACCACCACATGTAAGAAAACACAAATGGACTTTCAAAATGACATTAGAAAGAAAATGCATTGTCTTTGTAAGTGATGAAAACTTCCTCTCTTTTTCACCCATGCTGTTTTTGCAGGTTGTAATCATGTTCAGCATTCCGTAAACATTTCTGGAACGGAAATCTGAATCGAGTGCTCCTGGTTCCTATTTTTTGTGCTTTTCAAAATAGTTGCCCCAGTAAGCAGAAAATGGACAGCATGATTCGTTGAACGTTACTAGGCAGGGGAGATTTATTCACATTGAGAAGTTCAGTTGCATAGGTACTTAGGCCACTACTGCGTAATGATATGATGATCCTCCAGCGTCTGAATGCTGATAGATAGCTCCAGGTACTTAATGAAGTCCAATTGACAGAACTGAACCTCATTCCTTGTTCCTAGATCTTTACGATGATCAGCCTAACCGCATTGTTGCCTAATTTTCTCTCATGTTTTATTTTTTTAACGGAGAACTAAACTACCTAGCGCCTTAAAACTCCCTGTGGATGTTTACCCTGGATAAAGGAGAATAACCTGACCACATTTTCATGTTTCAGATTTGCTTGGTTTTCTACTTAAAAAATTAAACAGTAGAGAAAATAAGGCAATGTTTGATGTAGTTTGGATGATTCCATCGGAATCCATCCTGTTCCAAGCCAAATTTTCACATGAAAAAGTATGATGGAAATCAAGTTTTGAGCAGTCATTTTACTAGTTGAAGACGAACTCAGATAATAGGAGAAATTTGCCACGTCATGAGCATCCTGTTAACTGTAATGACCTTGGTTTTCATTTGGATTGCATTTTGCAATAAGGAGCCACTATCTCTGGCTCGTCCATAAAAACACTTTTCGGTATAGACAAACGAATGACATATATGCTGTTTCTAAGATGAGCTAGAAATAGCGGTTCCTTTTTGCAAAGTGTGGTCCATTTGATCTTTTGAAAAAAAGAAAAAACAGGGTATCTTTCCTTTTTTTTCTCTCATTTTTTAAAATTTTAAAACGGATCTTTTTTCTTTAAGTTTTTTAAAAAAATTAAAAAATGTATGAATCACCGGACACTTCTCTCATTTTCTCAGTTTGTATTACTATGTTAAAATGCACTATTAATAGGCTTAAAATAGCCATATAACTTTTTGATGGCTTTACGTAACAATGAGCCTCCTACTTTTCTTAAAAAAAATTTTATTGCCATAGTTGTTTGTCTTATTGGTTTAAGTATTCACTGTTACTGCATGATGTAATTTTTGTTTATAAATGTAGTGATTCTGGTCTTAATTCATTGAGAGGTTCCGATAGCTATTAAAATTTACACTCCTCTTTAGACTGAATTGGCTCATAGCGACCAATTTTCTTTTTGTGAACTGATGCTCTAAGCTATTTATTTAAACTATTTATCTTGAAAAAATTTATGAGTGCCAATTTTAGAACAATTATTATATTTGAATTAATATTTACATACAATGTGTTATTAAAAAAAAGACATATTAAAAATTAAGATCAAATTCATTAAAAAGAAAGTATTTATATATTTATAAATAATATAGATACAGTAAAACATACTTTAATATCTTTCTTTAATAGTTCACTTGTAAATCTTGAATACAGACTGATAAAATCGATTCCACAATAATTCAGATAGTCCGACGTTTTGATTTCGTCCTATGCATACCTCTCATTACTCAAGATGATTCTGTGATTTAGTGAAAAAAGCAAAACTGGATTTTAAACTAAGCGGGGTCGCAAAAGTAAAAACTGATTCAAAATTAAAAAATAAATAAATAAAAAAATTATTATACTGATTCTGAGAAAAAGAAAGTCAAAACGAAATAAAATGCAAGTGTTAGTCGGCGAATTAATTCTCTATTCCAAACACAATAGCTTCTCACGCTAGCTTTAATTTTCTGCAAACAATTGATCCTGCTATTTTTTAAAATTTTTGTAGAATTTTTTTTTAACATCAACATAAATATTTTTTAACTTTCAATTGTAAATCTTTATAGCCTTTTCTAAATAGTTGAATCGCGAGCGCTTCGGTGCCTTGTTGTGTTCTAGACCCAGCCAAGCCTTAGTGCTTATGTTCCCTAAAAATGAAAGAAAAAATAAATGCACCTTTAGTAAGAGACCAGAAATATTTTACCGACTAAAATAAAGCAGTCAGGAGAGAAAAATCTGAGCTTGTCTAAAAAGACAGTTTTTAGCATACTATGTTTCGATGATGAGGGTTGCAACTGGGAAGAGAGCAAAGACTGTCCCATTAACACTAGGGTTAGCCTCTTTTGAGAATTTGCCAAAGGTATTAAAATAAAAATTGTAGAAACGTATTTCATTAGCTCTCTAACAAACCCTCATTGAATTCATTTGGTCAAAAATTTACTTCTTTACTTCGTCCATTGGTTCATTAAATAATGCAAGACATGTTCTCATTACAAAAATTATTTCAGAGCATAGTAGAAATTTACATCATTGAGTTATTAGCGTGAATAATTCATAATGAATTCAGTCGATTCAAGATAACCTCAGAAACTCTGATATCTTGCACTACTTCCATTTGCATCAAAATATTTGGAACAGAGCTTTGTAAAAGGTGATTCATAGATCATAAATCATGGAATTGAAAAAATGATTGGTAGAAAACTTACCTCCGACGATGGGGTGTCTCCATTCGTTCAAATTGATAGTTGTTTCCAAATCTTCTATGCATTCTGGTATGCCTTGGGAAACGATCATAAATTTAAACTGGAAAAAAAAAGGGAGAAAAAATTACGACACAATAAAACAGACTGCAAAATGAGGGAGAGTGATAAGAAGTTTTCTGTTTCAAAAATACGACCTTCATGACTTTTAAAAGTCCTAAAATTTGGAATTTCTGCAAGATGTTAAGTTTTCTTTTACAATAAAGAAAACTTTTTCCCCCTCACACTTGATTCCATTCTGCCTATTTCAGAAATTTTGCAGGGTGCAGTTCTGATGATATGCTAGAAAATAGTTAAGGGGGAAATGCACAAATCAGAATGATGGAAGTGATTTTATTATTGTGGCACAAACCTTTTCAAACTCCTTCTCTGGAATTCCTAGTTTCTTGATTAGTCTATCTTTTATCCTACTAAACGATTCTCCCTAGAAACAAAAAATAAAGACAATTATATCAACTTGCAAGGAAAAGATTCTGAGATTTCAGAGCTGTTGCAGGGCCCACAAAAATTGAACGTATATTTTGTAAAACTTAGCAAGAAATACATACGATTTATTTGAAGCGTATAAATCATAATACTTCTCACTAGCAGTGGGGTTGCAATCAACAGCTGTAACATCTAAACCTACATTGATCTTACAGGCCTAAGCGCCAAAATTCAAGAATTGAGAAAAACAGGAAAAACTGTGCCAATTGGCTTGCGCTAAATCTTTAAAGCACAAAAATGTGCATGTCTGAAAAAGGCCTGTTGAAACTGGGCTCGAAAGATTGAATGCAAGCTGCACGGCACAATTTTTTCCTATATTCTCCAAACTTGGATTTTGGCGCTAGGGCCCTGGCGCAAAATAACAGTTCAACTGTGGATTGTGGCTGAGACAACACTGTGATTATAACAACTCTGGCTGCAAAAAATTTTATTTTTATGAATTTAATGAAATATGCCATCGAGTTTCATTTTCATGATTCATTTTCATGATTCATTTTCATGATTCATTTTCATTAAGTCATTAGCATGCATGTTAGGATGCTCCGGTGGCCCGGTTGCTCCCCCTGTCAGTCGCTTGCAGTTGCCAATGGGTGGGATTTTTGGCGCCCCCTTCCTGGCACATGCGAACAGTAGATGCCAGAGTGCAGTTTCCTCCTGCTTTTGAAGCAAAAAAAGAGGAAAAAAAAGGTGCACATATGCCACTGAAAGCAAGAGACTTAAAAGCTGAAAACCGTTCAGTTTACTTTGAAACAGCATTACATAGCCTCCAAATGCACCTCCCTGAATTAGGCCGAAAGCACAGCTAAATTTATCGTTTTTCTAGGCGAGATCAAAGACACAAAAAATCAGGGGAGGGGAGAGAGAATTTCTACCAAGATGAAATATATGAAGACTTTAGGAAGATAAAGGGTCGAGCTTGACATTTTTTTTTTCAAGATAATATTATTTCTCATCTTAAGGGGGCATTGTCTCTCACACATGATACAAAATTGCCTGGCCCAATGGGATGAAACCAAATATTTTCATTCAGTCAGGCGAAAATAGAAAAAAAACCATTTACAGCAAAAACCCCTTGTATTCTTAACCACTTATTTCAAGTTCATTAAATGGAGACACATTCTAAGCAAGTCTCATTTTATTTCCATTTATTATCCATTTATTTTTTATTTAAAGTTCGTTTGAAAACTCACCTGTTTGACTTTTAAGAAGAAAGGTATACCGAAGACAGAGAAAACATCTTTACAAAAATGCGCAACAGGTATCAACATCTCATCTTCAGCAAGATTAAGTTCTTCACGCAATATTTCTTCGATCCTGAAAACATAGGGAGAAAACAGTTGTATATTCTCAATATTATAGGAAAGTTTCAGATAATGAATAAAACTCACCTCCATCAATGGTTCTTTAGATTCTTGCTGACATGGATTACCATGGCATTAACTTCAGTCATAGTTTAGAGCTTGGACTATTTTAATTTTGAAGGATTCTGATTTTTAATGTAACTGACCAGTTCAGCCCAGGAAGGACTGGCCCCTTATTAGTTCGTTTCAACAGTTTTTGGCACAAGAAAAACAAGGAGCATATTAAAATTTCTTGAAAATTAAATTAGTCCCTTGGAGAAGTAACAGTGTGTTTTTATGGAAGTATCACAATTGCATTAGAGCAAAAACCGATCCAAAGGTAATTCTGCAGGCAAAATGGCAATAGTACCAACTTGATAATTGATGAACCAACTTGATGACCGAGTTGAAGAAAAGGTTTGTCTGAATAATCTTTCAAGTGATAGGCACCCACTTGGTTTTAAATTCCTTCCTGCAGTGCTTTGCCTCACGTCTAAGTTTAAGGTGACCCCAAGTTCCACAACCTGGGCACATGATGATTGAGGCAGAATTAAGGAGGGTTCCCGAACAAGGGCCCAGAGTAGTCTAGGTATGCTTGTTTCTCCAAGCAGCAGCTATCTGGACAAACGACAGCTTAGTTGAGACCATCGTATTGCTATCTACATGTCCAGATGAGGCAAATTAGAGAAACAAACTCGCCCATGATTAATGAGCACTTCTTTTGCAACCCTCTTTACTTATAAATTTACCTGCAGTAAAGAATTAAAAAAATTAGCAAGGTGATAGACAAAAATAACATACCTATAATTTTTGGCCTGATTCATAACTAGGTTTTCTATTGGGGTGTCTTCTGGTGGACCAGGTTGAATCCTATTTGTAACTATTTCCACTAACCTAAAAGCAAACACAAATAAAGTCAATAAAGAATTTTCCAAGTTTAATGGAAGCAAATGGCTCCAAGTTTAATGGTTTAATATTTACGGACTTGAAACACTTTGATTCTTCACTAAAAAGTTTGATGGACAGAAAAAAATTATATCAGAAATGGAAATAATTTTCAGTGTATTTTGTGGAGGTGAAAATAGACTAAAACCACTGCAATCTATAAAATGTAAGCTTTGGACCTCCAAAATCGGATGTGAGTACCACTTTGAGGGCATAAAGTGAGAATGATAGCCTTTTAGACATTTCTTCATATGATACATATATGAACTTCTATTCATGCGTCTCTCAGCCCAGTTATTTGCGTCAGAATTCTTTGCTTAAATGATACCAAACCTACAAACTAACCTATTTTTTTTAACCTTCTCATGATTTTGCATTGATCCCTCTTTCCTCAAATGATCTTAAATATTTGTATTAAAATGTTTTAGTTGTATTTGTTGAGCCTTTTGAAGTATCTTTCAGTGAAAAGAAACTGGAGCAAGTTCTAATTTTCGAAAGTGGAGGCGAAAAAAGGAAAAGGGTAAAATTTTCCCTAATCAATAATATGGATAACTTTGGAGCTTCTCGGCTAAAAGTTTGAGGAAAAGTAATTTTTTCATAAAGCACGCTTGGTATCAAAGTCAAGAATAACTGACTGAGCCACCCACTGGTGACAAGCATTGAGGGTATTGAATGGAAAGAACTAGTAAGGATTGTCATACAGAGATTCTTGGACAAAAAGTTACAGGCAAGTTTTTTTTTTTTTAATGATAAATTGTGGACGAAATACATTCAATGGACCACTAGACAAGGTACGAATTTCAGCATTCTGATACATGTTTCTCAACCAAAATTTCACGTAGAACACGATACGCACAACGAAAATTACCAAGATCAACTCCTGACGAAGATATTTAATGATTCTTGATGCGTGAATTTAAACCACCCGCTCATGAAAACTCAATGCTATACGTGATTCACATCGCGCGCTAAATGTTTATCATGACAGTCTCTGCGATGTAAAAATCTTCAACTTCAATCTTGACACTTTGGCTCAGCTATAGCAAATTACCAATAGTTTGAACAACACATGGTGGAAAATGAACATTGCTCGATTGAGAAGCTTGCTGAAACCGTTGTAGTGCGCGATTTGACTCACGTAGAGCTTTGAGTTTCTTGTGAGCGGGCAGTTCAAATTCCTCGTAATCAGTGCGAACTAAAAACGTTAATATCTTCGTTATAAGTTGATTTCGGTAATTTTCGTAGTGTGAATCGTGTTCTACGTGAAATTCTGGTTAAGAAACATGTATCAGATTGCTTAAATTCGTACCTTGTCTAGTGGTTCATTATTGATTTTGGGGTGGATTCATCCTGATTTTTGGAAAAGACATTCATTGGCTATGTTGCATGAGCAAGGAAGTAAAGGGCCGTTGGTAGAAAGATCACTCCTTAAGGACAGCTTCATTTAAGACTCATTAGACATTCTGAATTGTACACATGCAATGAAGTTTGAGATAGATGAACAACTCTCTTTTGAGACTTGATCCCAAAACTTAGTGATGAGAAAATTTCAATTCTGCTTGTATATAAGAATTCTGGATCGCCATGTGTTTCTAACACATGCAATATTCATAAGATTCTGATAAAAAACCGAATTCAGAAAGTTGGTATTAATGTTACACATACCAGGCTTCCAAAGTATTTTTTTGATGTTACACCTCCTTCTCAAAAAAAAAAATTTTCCAGAATCAAAGAAGAGGGTTGCACACAAATACAACATACCTTAATTTACCAGACCCAACTTCTGGATTAAACTCGACTACTTTCAAAGCTTCATCGAGCAAATCTTGAACGGTCCCTGTTTTGTTGACATACAGAGTTAGCTCCTTTTCTTCTTTGTATTTAGGGCCTACCCATGAGACCTAAAACAACAAAATTAGGATTAACATAGTTTTGGTAAAAAAGCTGTTGAATAGACAATGATAGTAAAGACATACCGCAGGAGCCTATAGATAAGTTGCATCCCAGATTTTTAGGGACCAACCTCCTCCTCCCAAAAATAGAAAAAAAATTGGCAAAGTAATGCGTTAACGTTCTTGCCATCACTTGACAANAACCTAACCTAACTTTCGAGCCGAGTCGAGTACTCGATACTCGGCTCGACTCGACTCGAAATTCGAGTACTCGCACAGCCCTAGTATTAATGTTACACATACCAGGCTTCCAAAGTATTTTTTTGATGTTACACCTCCCTCTCAAAAAAAAAAGTTCCAGAATCAAAGAAGAGGGTTGCACACAAATACAACATACCTTAATTTACCAGACCCAACTTCTGGATTTAACTCGACTACTTTCAAAGCTTCATCGAGCAAATCTTGAACGGTCCCTGTTTTGTTGACATACAGAGTTAGCTCCTTTTCTTCTTTGTATTTAGGGCCTACCCATGAGACCTAAAACAACAAAATTAGGATTAACATAGATTTGGTAAAAAAGCTGTTGAATAGACAATGATAGTAAAGACATAACGCAGGAGCCTATAGATAAGTTGCATCCCAGATTTTTAGGGACCAACCTCCTCCTCCCAAAAATAGAAAAAAAATTGGCAAAGTAATGCGTTAACGTTCTTGCCATCACTTGACAACACCGCCTTAACTGACTTCCATTTTGTCATCGGTAGAGTTTGTATCTGCATCCTCCTTACTAAAAAATTCCCATCACTGGCAGAGACAAGGTCAACGAGTGCTCTCAGTTGTTCTCCTGTTAACATTCTCGAGCATCGTACAGAACCGACCAGGAATGGTAAGTCGCACTTTGAGCACCTAGAAAGGATGCAAATTCTTCAAGCTTCGTAGGTAAGCCACACCCCTATTTTAAGCTTGAAGGATCGGGCAAAAGTGCAGCTCACCTGCAGGTGCATATGTAACCCTATGGGTGGAAACATTTGGAACAGATTTGTTTTTTCAAAGGACTCTTTGGATTAGACGCCAACATTTTTAGAACAGGATATTGCTACTTTCAATTGTGCACAATGTCATTTGAGTGGAAATAATGTAGAGCAACACTGCGATGGATCAGTTAGTATAAGTTACAGTTGTGTAATTCCTGTAATCCATAAAAAATCTGGTGCTCGATTAGTATAAATTTGACTGAGTCTTCGCTTCCATAATCCTTTTGTTTTATTATTACAGAGAGTGTCTACAATAGAGCTAATTTGAAACGTTTGCACCAAAAAACAAGGATGCAAAAACAATAATGAGAGGTTTCTCAAAAACCACTGTTAATTAATGGATTAATTCTGTTGTTTGTTGATCATACCTTGAACTGTTTTTTATTTTCCAGCTCATTCAGAGGTATAGACAATTGCTGATAAAATATTTTTTTGGGTGATTTTGCCGGCGGCTTGGAGAATACGAGATCTTTTAAAGTTCCTGCAAAGTCATACTGAAGAGCATTGCCAGGCATATCCTTGTAACTGAAACAGAGAAAGAGGCAATAGGTAAAAGAAAATCATATTAAGAATAAAATGTCAAAAATTCAAACCAGCCTAATGAGCTCTATCTCATAGGGATATATTCAAAATCGAAAAAATGTTTGAAAGTCAACCTATTATATTTCTTATTGAGGTGCAATTCCCAAAAATTTCAATGTCCTAGATGAAATCCTGTACATACGACAGCATTGCTAGTTTAAAACTTTGAAATGCTCGTTCTGCTTAGATGGTGATGATAGTGAACGAATTCTGTTCAAATTAGATTTTAAAGAAGAGCATTGTCAATAGCTCGAGACAAACACACTCCATTACAGTTTAATCATGGATAAAATAAGAAGTGTCCCGTTAATGTAGATTTGTAATGATATCATTCACCTTCTTTATTTTAATTGCAATTTTTTTTTCTTTTTTTTTCCAGAGCAGAAAAACATCACAAGGGAATTAAAAAAAAATCTTATCTTTTTAAATTGAAATTTTCCATTTAATGTCATACTTTTAAAGTTCCATGGCCATGGGAACTGCTGGCTTAAAATTTCTGCATCCTTTAGCCGGGTGCTTTGACAGTGCAAAATGTTGAAATTTTCTGCTGAGAATTTCAGCTGAGATGAGGACCTGAAAGTCCAAAATCGACCAAAGAATGTTTTACTTTTTCAGGTTTCTTTTCAATTGACAGAGTAAAGCTGAAATGGTTTCTATTGTATTAAACTAACTTACCCTTGACATTTGAAGAATTGCAACCGATGCTTGTCAACACCAACTCTACGTGCGACTTCTTCTACCATCTCCTCATATGTTGTCCTCATCCACAATTGAATAGTGAAACCAGGGTCATTAGGGATTGATTTATCACAGAAGGTCACTTCAACACGGAAATCTCTGCAAAAAAGGGAGGAAAACGTGATATTTGAAACAAGCCAAAAAAAAAAAATAAAAAAAATTAACAAGCGATTTCCCAAATGACTGCAAAATCAAGAAATTCTTTACAAATACTTAAATACTGCAATTGAAATTTTTTTTAGAGTGTTTGTACAATATTAGATGGGGTAGAGACAAAATAGGACTCACTTAAAGTATTCTCCGGGAGTTTTCAATTTATACTGCGCCTCCACAGCAGGGGGTTCTTTCTTTTGAAATACGATGATATCTCCGTCCATGAGCTCTTCAAGAACCTGAAACAAGAAATTATAAAAAATTTAAGGACTTTAAATTCAATTTGGTAAACTTGGTGACCGACAATGTCTGACATTTGACTTTTCTTGCAAGCGTAAGGAACCTTGGGCTCCATTCCCGCAAAATGATCCCAGCGATCAGTAATGAGCAAAAATCGCATTTTTGCAACGCTGTTGATCCCTGGCCTTACAAATGGATGCATGGAAACATCTGGCCCACGACGCTGACAGAACAAAAAAAAATTCACTGAAAATATCAGGGGCATGGGGCTAACATTACTCCATAAAAGCCCCAAGAGTCAAGCCCTTAGCAGCCAGTGTGTTAATTTTAGTTCCATAATCGAAGAATGAGATCCACTGCAGGGGTATAGAAAGTTCTTAGCTTTCCCTCTATTTCAACCAGCCATCTCATTTTAAAAACCCTTCTTTTTCCAAAATTTTCAAAGCTGTGTCCTTCAGTCAAAAATTGACATGATTCAACGATAAACACGCAAATTTTTCCATGATTATAATGCAATTGCAGGCTGGCTCTTCCATTCGTTACGCAGTGGCCAGACGATCATGATGGTGTGATAGGGAAATTTTGCCTGTATAAGTCAGAAACCCGCGGAAGCCGGCACAATCGACCAGTCCCCGCTGTCTCCCATTAACCACAATGCTAAAAAACCCGGATAACTCGGAATCGTGTAAATCGGAAACCCGCCTAAACCAGTACAACTATTGGTCCCAACTGGAATAAATAACCTTTAAACTTGGTTTTCTCCCATTTTGCAAAGTTTACTTTCGTTTTTCCCTCAATTTGTTCATTTTTACTTCTCACTTTGCGATCAGTTGCAGTACATTATACAAATTAAGACTTGTGAAAACGACCCTCGAGTTAGGTTGTCATGATTGTTGTGAAATGTCTTGCCCGGAAATTAATGTTCAGTGATTGAACTTGGTACTTTAGCGATACATTTTTTAATGACAGCTTAAAAGCAGATTTTCAAACACAAAACAAAAACCATAATATGTAAATAGTGAATTCACCTTTTCTAACGGAGCATCAAAATTAGTAATAGGTTCCAGAAGACTAGGTTTCACTTCTTCATAGATATGCAGTTCTGTATTTGGAGGGAAACCGGCTCTTTCATTTAAAATTGGAATTAAGTCATCTGAAAACAGAAGTAATAAAAATTAAAGTGAGAGAACAAGAGAGAGAAGACATAAAGATTATATCAGAAGCTTTTGGCCAATGAAAATTATGGAAAAGTATTCCATTGGTGAGTAAAGTTAGCTGTGAACTATTTGTATTAATGTAAGGAAATTCAATAGGCGGAAAAAATGTCAGAATTGGCCGAAACTGTGCTTAAAGTAGAACACAACTTGATGAGAAAGAAGGAGAAACTCAAATGTTCTAAAAAACCATCAATCAAATCAAAATACAGCATAACAATGATCAGGATTTTTAACAATATGTTACCCGAAATTTTAACTTTGCTCTTCAGAGTTTGTTTCCGTGATTTAACTTCACGACGTTTCTAAAAAATTAGGATCAGACCCCTAGAAGTAAGGGATGTTCTGCCAATGCGCCTCAAGGCATCTAAAAATTATTTCAGCCTAAATTTCTATTTCTCTTTGCTTGGTTTCTTGGGTTATCGTAAAAGATCTCCCTTCTAAAAATCGTAAGGGGCAGCTAAAAATTAGGCTTCCTGGCAAATGGCTCTTAAAATTTTGGAGTGATTTTAAAAGAAATATCTCTTTGGAGGAAAGAATAATCTAACTAATAAGATAACTGACTAATCAATCATTTTTTGATGCAATCAATCAAGGTATAACTGTTGTCGTTTTTTTTTTTTCATGTATTAAAGTGATAAAATGTTCAGAATTGATGACGTTTCCATTACTGCAGTTTTCAATCAGTGATAGCCAGTAGTTCGATATCAGTGTAGTTCTATATGTAGGAAAAAGAGGTGAGTGAAGATTGATAATGGAACTTACGCATTTTTTGAGAAACTGGTACGTAATAATGACCACAGTAGAATATTTTCATCAGCTTAGGGTCGTAAAGTTTAAAGAACAACAAAACGTCCTCATCCTTGTTGTAGGGCGGAAGAGATGTCAGGCCTGAATCAGGAGGAACAACTTCGAGGAAAATATTCCATGGACTTTGGTTCTCTGATAATTCTACAACAAGACGATGCAAGTCATGCTCCAGTTCGATGAGGTTTGGTCTGCAGGTTTGATTAGTACGGTAATTGAGAGGCCAAGGTCGAATTTGTTCGAGGGGATATTTCTGTGAAAAATAATGATAACAAAATCAATGAAACTAAATCATTAAATCAACACTGTAAACGTTAGATACTTGCAAGTCAGGAAAAAAATCCATTATGTTCAGGAAAGAGGAATGGAACGGAGACAAAGAAAACGAAATGATAAACAAAAAAGAACCATCTCAGGGTTTCAACAATTTCTTCACTTTCCAATTCCCAGACTTTTCTTCGATTATTTTTGCTTTTCCATGAGTCCGACATTTTTGGAATCCCTTACTTTTCTTTGCATTTACATAAAACTTTCATTTAAAATGTTTTTCCTTTGAACGACTTGAACTAACTTATTATAAATGCTGCTCGCAAAATTTCCCGACATTTGCTATTGAATTCCCTTAATTTTCTAGGTTGCCATAAATTTTCCGACTTCATCACCGGAAACCCTGGATCTTCATCTTAAAAATCAGGAGTGAGTTTTCATGCTTTCTTCCTAAGAAATAAGGAATCACTTTCTAGCATACCATGGGGGGGGGGGGGTNTACCTTGGGGGGGGGGGGATTGAAATTTCTAAGGTAGGAATGGAAAAATTACAAGACTTGATTAGTACCCACAGTAATCTTAGTATCACTTTTTTATTTTATTTTTTCTCTCTTACGACTAAAATTTTCCTAGGATTTGAGATTTGTCAAAGGAAACTTGGAGGCTTGTACAATATTTTTCCTTAGCATGGCAGTATTCAGAGGCATCTAGATCACTGATTATGCTAAAATGAAAGTGGAAAACTAGACAAAGGAGGCACAAAAATAATCAAAAGCAATGGATTAGAAATATTCTGTTTGAATAATCATTTCCTTGTCTTAGGATCCGACTTTAGTGAGGAGGTACAAATTATTAACTAACTCCTCTTACGAAAAGGCCAGTTGCACTGGAAACAGAATCGTGTTTTGATGCTTGATTCTTGTAGATTAGCTAGAAATAAGAAGATTCATCCAAGTAGCAACTTTCTACGTTGAATATTAACGGCGATATCGTCCTTTGAAAAGTTGGGTTTTTGATGTCATCCACCATGGTAGTGCATAACTTGGTACATACTACCGCAGTGGATGACATCATAAATCGAGTTTTTCAAGGCGCAATATCTCACTCAATATTCAACATAGAAAGTTGCTGTTTGCACAGATCTTAATTTTTTTACTTGATTTACAAGTATAAAGCATCAAAACATGATTCTGGGACCAGCCTAACTGACCCATTGACAGTTGATCAAATAACAAGCAATGGAATTTGTATAAATAATTTAAAAATACTTACAAGCGTCTTAGATAAATGATCTAGAAAATCTTGGAGCGTTGTATTTCTTTTGACACGGAAAACTCTGTACTGAGCATGTTCAGGGTCAAAGAGATCGGTCCCTTGATGACCATCAAAAGCGTCTTCCAATAATATTTGGATCGTCATATACAAGTGAGCTTCAGTTCGCTCCTTTCTCCTGATCTGCTCTAACCGTTTCTCTTCTGCAAGCCTCTCCGAAAGCTGAAACAAAATAATGACAAGTTGTGCTCAGCAATTTTTTTCACAATTAGCTCTACAACATAATTTCTCTACAATCTAATTAGCTGTACAACATTCTTTCCGTATTTTTTCTTACTTCAACAAACTGGTTTTCTCCAAATCATGTTCAAAGCATTTCATCATACATGTATGCTTGACTACTATGAGTTCAAGGCTATCTATTCTTATTTTTTCTTCTTTTTTTTTTCGAACAGATATCACCAAAGTTATTGGCCCATGCGAGTATTAAACAAGAAAAGAAAAAAATTAATGACAGGAAAATAAACAAAAATTAAGAATCGGAAGGAAATGTCCTCCTCACCTCTTGTGGAATATCTTCTTCTGTAACTTCTTGTAAAACATTCTTTAACTCAGAATCTCTGATGTAAACTAACATGTAGGCATTCGTACAATGTTTGACTGTCATGATTGTGTCATCGTCATGTCCTCCAAAGTTGTTTTCTATTGCTTCTTTTTTCGTACAGCTCGACACAACATCATCATCAAACTTACACCACTGTAACAAACAAAAGCAAGTTCATTTAACTTATTTATACGCACAAATCATGCTGACTTCCAAAATTTTTAAAAAAGTTAACCATTAATAGAAAAATATAAATAATATTAACTACATTTGTGCTACTACTACTACTTTACATTAATGAATCATTAAACAAGGTGCAAATTGCAACGGTATGACAAACTTGTGTTTTCTCATTAAACATGTAGAACACGATATTTGCGATGGAAATTATTGAAATCAACTCCTTATCAAGATATTTACTTTTTTCTAGGCATCAATTCAAATTTTCTGCTCATAGAAAAACCAAGATTTACTGCGTTAAATCGCACACCAAACATTAACATAACAGTCTCTGCAGTATGATAATATAACTACTTCAATCCTGACACTTTGTTCACCTTTTTTTTACTTTAAATTTCTTTCGGTCTGGATAATTTAATTTGAAGTTTGCTTCTTGTTAGTGCTTTTTCATTAAAATTAATATTGATAAATACCTTTCCATCACCACGAGGATTGATAAAGACAACATAATGTCCACCATGATTATCACCACTGTGAACTAACACAGCATGTAAGGTGTAGTCAGCTGGAGTAGTCTCTGGCTTGTGAAGGTAAGGGTTAAGAGAGACTTTCTCGGTAAATTCAAACCTGCAATAGGAAAATGGACATCATTTTTAGATGATGATCAAAAAGAAGTTACAAAAATATTCTGACTTTAACTGAACAGTAAAGGAAAGCAAAATCAAATCCGTAAACAATTTTGAAGTACAGAAAAATATATTGTAACAATATTTTGTTCAAATCAGGGGTACAAAAATTGCGCAGAGCATCACATGTGAGGTAAGACTGGCGATTTAGGGAAATTTTTAGAGAGTAATGACCTTGAATTGGAAACTTAGAAAAATTTGGAATTGATTTTAATTGAATTGAGAGATTCCTCCATGAGTAAATGTGCCAGATCTGTGTCTTGGAATGGCCTGCGAAGGGTTCCAACTTAAAAATTAGATTTTAGGAGCTATCTGGGTACGCAAAACTAATCAAGAAGAGCCATTCACAATTTTTCAAGCACAAAATGATTTTTGACATATGTGCTCATGGTGTGTAATTGCTGCCTTAAGAATTTGCATTGGGTTGGGTCTAACAAAAAGTTGGAAAACTGGATCTGCTCCCTTGTTACAAATCGGACGATTCAGTTCGCAAGTCCAAGCCGAATATGAATATTCTGAATACTATATTTAGCACAGTATTCAATTGTACAGCTGAAAAAGTCCCAATCTTAGAATAGATTTACAAGAAAGAAAGATGAAAAATCTTACCTATCATTAAATTTCACTGAGCAATCAGTGACTGGGTCATACTGAAAGCGCATGAGGTGTAAGTGAAGGACAGGTGGAAAAGTGGCAAAAATAACTCCTTTCTCCGCATCCTGAAGGCCATGCTCACCAGCATCGTACTTGTTATCGCCCTCCAAGACTTCGGGATTGACATAATCTTTAAAAGATTCTGTGATGTTCTTTTTGCCTTTAATGTTCAACTGAATGTCGTAATAAGTCTCTTCTCTCGTTGAAGAGTAATCAATATTTTTACACTTAATGAAGGACATCATTTTTCCTTCGAAGAGCTTGGGTACGGTCCCTTCTACACATGTCCCTTTCATTTTGCTTTCAAGTTTATCTAAAAGCACTCGAAGGAATTCTTGTACATCGTGTTGCATGAAGGAATCTAGGGTCTCCCAGCCAAATGATTTGGTCAATTTTTTGGTTCCAACTGGTTTATCACTGAACTGAAGCTCATGGAAGACTCTTTGTAATGCAAGAGCTACACTTTTGCTACTGTCATCACTTTCAGTTGGCATTTTATAAACAGCCTGTAACATGAAAATAATACAGTTCAAATTTCTCCTTCAGATAAAAGAACATTTGACGGTTACAACAGTTTCTGAGTTAATTACCATGTGATTTTTAAACAAAAGTGCAGGAAGTTTCTAGCTTTTCCATTTTTCAAATTGGTTTCTCTGTTGACCGAGTTCTGAGAACTCTTTTTTACCGAACATTTTCAAACAGATTAAGCTCTTCAACCTCACTTAAGAGGTGCCCTGATTTTGTATTCAACTTGCAATTATCACTGCTATTTTGCAAATGAGACACTACTTTTGCTCTGATGTACACAGGCCTTCCCATTTTTACAGCTTCCCTCGTTTTTCATTCAGTTGAAAAGTTTCAGTGCCCCTATTTTTAAAATTTAACATGTTTTATCTGAAAACCTATCAAATTATACCTACACTGTTTAAAAAATTTAAAAATCAATGAGACAGTTGCACAATTTGCGTTGAATTCATTCTCAGAACGTGCGTGAAATGAGAGAAGGTCTGCATTTTTGGTTAATTTACTTTTTGGTCGCAAATGTATCGAGAGATTATGTATCTCAATTATGCTCTACACTATTATTGCTGTTAAAAGAAAATATGTGTGTTGTTGCCCCCCCCCCCTCACTTTTTAATTCTTTATTCCTGCTTTTAATCATAAATTGGCCATGTTGCATTGAGTTCAAGGTGGTTGATACTATAAATTTGCCTCATACAACTTCATAAGCTTCAGGCCAATGAGAAACATTCTTCTCATAACTTCAATAAAAAGCCTCTCTTATAAGTAAAAAAAAAAGAGTTGTTTTGAGCATTTCTAAACTCTGCAACTCATATCTCGCTGAAATTTACATTGGAGCACCCATTTCCAAGGCAGTTACTGGATCTAGCGACATCCCAATTCTCAAACATGAAATGTGAAGATTTATTACCTTTCTCAACTGATTAGTGAAGTATAAAGTTTGGAGTAAAGAGTTCATGTAGCAAGTGGCACCTTGGTTCTTCAGACCTACATAACCAGTATGTTTCTTTGAGTCCCAACTGACTCCATGAGGAGCTTCTGCAGCAACATGAACCTGCAGAGTGGACAGAAATATGAACAAAAAAAATTACTAAACACTTTAAAAAAGGGACAAATCGAACTGAACAATGATTGAATGGTGTCAAGCTGAGTAAATTATAAGTATCTTAAAACATGAGAAGAGTAAACAAATTCAAATAATATTCATATTCATAAACTTAATTTGTAATAATGTCATTCCTTAATGGAAACAGGCACTCATTTCTTTGATCACAAACTTTTTCACGCACACATTGATAAGGGTATGCTAAGGAGGAATTTTACATAATAAAATTCTATATGGTTGATTTGTCAGAAAAAAGGTACGGCTTAGTAAGCGTAAAAGAAAACATTACCTCTAGAGTGATTGAGTCATCTTTGATATAGCCTTTATCAGGATCTAACATGTCATTCCAGACCATGAAGTGACTAAAGCCCCAATCATTTTCTTTTGAGAAGAACAAATGCTGAATTTCTGGAAGGAGGGAGAAAAAACAAAAGGATTAGTAAAACAAAATAAGAAAGTAATTTAGGCGAGAGGCTGTTGAAAAAGTCTTAATGTTTCAAAGGAAATAGAAAGGACCCCGCACACTCTTTACGGGGATGTGTGCCACAATCGATTTTTGATTTCTTTGTTGTTATAAGTTCATCTGTGGAAGCTGATCAAAAGTCATCATTGTGCCAATGGCCTTTGAGCCACCATTTTAGCACAACGCGCTAATGAAATTTCTGTAATTTCCAGGACAGTCTGGCTAAAATCAAAACGCATAGCATGTCTGTCTGGTAAGGAAAGTAGAGTGGGAGAGAGAGAGAAAGGAACTGATTTGGACTGTGAAAAGAAAAGGGTGTGGAATCCGAGATAAGACTGCCCCTCAACAGGGTGTCTACTAAAACACGTTGCCCAAAAATCAGTACTTTTCTAGTACTTTTTCAGTGGATTCCCAAGAAATTCAATACCTTCTCAACATATATATTCAGTACTTTTCCAGTACCTCCAATTGACGAAATTCGAAAAATTTCAAGAATTTGAATTTCCCGTTCAAATTGTGACAAAAATGACAGAGAAATTTAAAAAATTCAGGACCTTCTTGCAAAATTTTCCCACTTTTTCAGTACTTCCGTACCGCCCTTAAAAAATCGGTGCTACCTATGTTTTTGTCAAACTTTGGTTCAAACACTAAATTCAAACACAGTCTATTTTCAACCAGGCAAGATTGGTAACACAGGGAAACGATAGGGGGAAAAAAGCTGAAGAGGGTTGGAAGATTGATCCGTTCAGGAGATGAGCCTCCTTAAATACTTACTTCTTGAAATAGGCTCTACTCCTTCTTTCTGTGGAAGGATTTTCAGTTCAGCAGCTGCAAAGCAACTCCACGAGGTATTTTCTGATTCACCATTACACTGGAAAAAATAAGTAAATAAAGTAAGAATGCATGAAGATTAGGACTTGAAATTTTGAGACAGCTGAGCTACTATAATCATTGGTTTTAGGAAACCCTCGCCTTTGCAGCATCTCTAAGACAAGACGATACACACTCATAAGAGACATTATGCTCAGAACTCTTGAATGGGTGAGAAAATAAAATGGAATCGCGAGCTATTCAAACTTTCATCATCATGATCTTTATGGAAATAGGTACTATTTTTTTCCATTTACCTGGTGATCAATTAATGTAAAAAATCCAGAATCGATCTTGAGGCCTGCCTTAAGTAATTATACGGCATCCTTAAAGGATAGAGGCAGGGATGCAGAAACTTCTAAGCTTCCATATCCTTGCACCCTCGCCAGACGCTTTTCCATATTTTCCTGATCCGCTTTCCACAAAATTTCCAACCAATGTTGAAAAAAGCGCCCCGATACTTCTTTTTCCCTCCAACTTGCAACTTTGGATCCTTGAAAATTTGTCTCTCCTTCCGTATTTTGACACGGCTGCCCAGGGCATGATCAGACATTTATAGCATTCCTGAGCTGGAGTGCAGAAAATTTTATAATGCTGATCTTTTCCTGCAATCTCACATTTTCGCCTCGTGGCCAAACCCACACTGCTGAGAGGAAAAAGATAACAAACCTGTAAGAAAAATCCAAGTGATTTCTGATTCTTTTCATGCATTTGCGTGCTTCGCTGCATGACCATTATCTTCCAAGGCAAGTTGCGAACATAGCAGGGAGGTGATAGCCTTGATTCCCTGAGTTCACTGACATTATCCACAGTGAATCTAAAAGTTGCTTCAGATCGCGCTTCATCTAGAAGAAAAACATTAAATAAATAAATAAATAAACATAATGAGGAATATGATGATTATAACAGATGGAAATGGTCTGATTTTTCATTTGTTTTCTGCAATAGCATGGATTAGCCCTTTCCGGTCCGCGGCAGTTTTCCACGGCCGTCGTTAAGTGAGGTTAAGGTAGCAGCGATGTTGTCAACAAAGACAGTGGTTTCCAAAGGCTCCACCAGAGGCCGCCACTTGCTGGAGCAGTCGAATATACCCGATATCGGGCCTGCACAGAAGTTCAAACTTTTGGGCGACTATATCCGACATCGGACCTAAACGCGTTATTTTTCACGGCGAATATATCCGACATTGGACCGGAAAGGGTTAGAGAAACATGTTAACATGAGTATGAGGTCACCAGAATTTTCTACATTTAGTTAGTCTTCAGGATATAATAGTTAAGACATTGCTTCACACAGATTTTAGCACTGCATTAAGTAAGACTCAAAGAGGAGGTTGTAAAATTCTCCCTTGAAAATCCTTGTTATTTCCACCCCCTCTTTCCATCCCTGGTAAATGCATTCAAGTCAGTCTAGAGTAATAAGTGTGGTAGGTTTTAAAGCTGACATCAAAGGGCATCAGATTTTGAATGAGTTTTAATATAAACTTATTTCGTACATATAGCTCTACATATAGACATATTTATAATCCTTTCTTTAGAGAGAATAAAGGTTGAGTATTTAGGTGACAGGTGTTGTTGGCAAAAATAATGAGTGACTTGAGTCAAACATCATTGATTTCGATTCATATTATTTATTGATCGGTAGAGAGGAAAGCAAACATACCTTCTGCCATTTCGGCGTCCTGGGATGAAGAAATAGTATTTATCAGTTCTCCGTTCATTCTTCTTTCAACATTAGTCATTCCAAAGTTATAATTTTCTTGAGAATTCAAATTTGTGCCAATTTGCTCATCAACTGGAAAAAGAATGAGTCATTTTCATTATTTTTAAGGAGGCTGGATGCAGATAAATGAGAATTATTTTTGCCCTAAGGAGATATAGACGCTATTAGTGCAACGTCACAGGAAAGCGATATTTATCGATTTTTTCGCATTGGTAGCATTGAAAGAGGTTATGCCAATGTTATTGTTTGGATCCAATTCGATATAATGGAGAATCCCTATGATGACGTCGCCACTAATAGCGTCTATGGAAACTTTAAGTGATAATTCATCATTTTTCTGTGAAATCGACCAAAGACATATTTTAAAGTTGGGGAGAGTGGCGCACCTGTGGCCAAAGTCATTCCAGGTCGTGGAAAACTTTTTACCTTACACATACACAAGTTGTACCTTGAACATGAGGTCACCTATTTTTTTTTTAAAAACAGAAAAAAAAAATTCAAAGGAACATCGTGTTTTGAACTTCATTTATAACCGGTGATCATGTAATTTCATCCGAAATACTCAAGCTACAACTCAAGAAGGAAAAACACAGTTCTTCTGAGATTTTTTTTCAGCTGTGCCTATGTCTCTCATGAAAAATCTATGAGTTATACTTTCTTCCAGACTTTTTTTTCATGCTATTCCTCTAAAAATTGCGAAAATATAAATCTCAATTGCTGCATAAGTAAATATGGAAAAAGTAAATAAAAATGACATCAATTTTAATGTAATTGCAATGATTGGTCACCCTAAAAAATAAAAAAAAATCGAGTGATTGCAGATCAAGTGCAAGGTATTGCAATTTCACCTTCAATAAATGTTGGGACTGGTATGCTGTGATGGATGTTAGAATTTTTTGTCTGCATAGTTACTATTATGAAGAAAATTTAGGTCTTCTGGATCGAGTATTGACTTAATGGATATTCTAGGATTTCATTTCATTTAGGTGTATCTTACCGATACTAATTTTCTATCAAAATTAATGCTTTCAGAAATGATTTGTCAATGTATCCAATTATTTTCCAAAAAAACAGTTCACACCAACATTTTTCATTCTAGCAACTATTGAGATAATTTCATGACTTCTAAGAACTTGACAAACCTCTCTTTGCCACAGTCAATCTCATAGAGAAAAAAAAGGAGGTGTTTGCATATTGGGCATCTAGGAATTTTTTTGATGACGTAGGTCGGTACAGCGACGTTTATCATAGATTTTCTTGGAAATGGTGTAATTTATGGAAAAAAGTCATTCTAAAATAAGTGCTTGAAATTATATCATGAGTTGATTTAAGTAAACAAATCGGACATTATGGTCTGTTTTTCAAATTTAGAATTCCGGATTTCGCTGGCCAGGTTGTACGGACCTACATCACAAGGTAAACAAACCTCAAGATGCAAACACCTCCTTTTTTTTCTCTATGAGTCAATCTGGGTTGCACAAAATGCTTACGTTTAATTTGACCTTATTTTCTAAATAATACAAGATAAACGAAAACTAATAGAGAATAGAATTAAGAAGTACCATACTGTTAAGTTCTCTTTTAATATGAAGGGTAATGGAAGAAAGAATAAGTTAGTTAGAATGAGGTGGATAGAATGATTGAAGTATTTTCAGCTAGAAAACTATCTCACAGTGAGTGATAAAATCATGGCTTCGTTTGATCTGAAAGACAGTGGGGATATGTACATACAGCAATGCTCAAAATCTTTGGTTTAACATCAGAATGTTGAAAGCACTTCTTTCACTAGGACTGCACAAGATTTGTATAATTAACAAAAGTGTAATGAGTTTAATTTACATAGATTGTTAAGTGAGGTAAACCCACTCTTACGGATATTTCGACACGGGAGCATGCAGAAAACAGTAGGATTCAGAAAATAAAAGGTGTTGGTTTATGTCGTGTACAGCAATTTAAATGTTGTTTTCATTGGAGTCATCAATTTATCAAAGTCCAAAACATTCATGAATTTTGCTCTCATCCCGTTCTAAACTTTTGAAACTGAACAAAGGAGCAAGATAAACAGCTAGGGAGAGAAATAATGTCTGATAGTTGATAAAAATGATACTGATAGTTTTGCTGGGCATCCTTTAAAAAGGCCTGATAGGAGGGACTTTACAAATCTGTCATGGAAACTAACTTGACTGAAAATATTACCATGAGCTATCGGCAGTCCATTTGTTATATACTATTGCTGCTTTGTCACAGGCTAAAAGGGAAGTGAGAAAAAAGGGGCATTACGCTCAAGGGTAGCATCTGTTAATGCAAACGACTGAAATTTTTCCCTCACAAAATGATATAGCCTACCGATTTCAAAAGTTAAACAGATTATGGTCTAAGGTGTGAACAAGCAGTACTTAACAAATGATCGGTTGTGGAGCATAGAAAACTGGGACCAAACAAATTTCCATTCAATACATTTAAAGAAAACGAAACAGATGCACCTATTGTAAAAAATATTCTCTCTTGGGTAGATGAATAATTTTGATTAGTTGAAGTTCGTGATGATTGAATGGTTGGCACTAATTAGTGAGAGGCTTCCTTTCCTCTCTTTATCAAAACGTAATGTTTAACTCAAATGTGTTATATTACATAAAGCAACAAAGCAACTGGAAGGAATGAATAAACTTAGAGGAACTGATGAAGAATGCGACAATTCCAGCATTTGATATTTTGCTTAGACAGGTAAAGTCTTGAAGATAAGACCAACAATAGATGCTACGATGGTAGAGGTCTGAAGGGAAAATGAGATGCGGAAAATGGATACACTGGAATTATACCAAGAAAATAACAGAATTGGATCTAAATGAGAATGAAAACAAACGACTCAATATAAGAGAAGAGGATTAGAACAATGCCTACCTACTCAGCATTTGATGATAGCCTCAATGATTGGGTCGTACGGGCAAATAAGGTCAGAAGATTCATGATTCACTGGACACTTTGGAGAATATACTTTGTAAATAGTTCCAACATAAAAAAAATGTTCTATCAGCACGTTTTGAGGAGTTTTAGATTAAATAACAGTGATATCTGCTAGGCCCAAGAAGGAATTTGAAGATAACCTAAAAACTTCTGAACAAGATGAAATGCATTTTGGTTTGTACACGAGAATAAAGAGCTTTAAACTCTAAGTAATTAAGGAAGAGGCACGAAAGTCGAAGAAAAACAATTAAAACGTGTAGAAAAGTCTCTGACACTGCACTAGATAAAGTAGAGTGATTAGGGATTAATGAAAAATTAGGCCAAAAAAGCGAGATGAATTAGAGGCAAGGAAGGAAGAAAAAATAAATATTTTGTACATTCCTAGTTCCGAATATTCCTACCTTCCTGAGTGTCCATATCCTCCACGTCATTTTGAGTCTCACGATCAGCAATCATATTCTCATGCTCACTAATAATAGATTTCATTCTGTCCTCATCTAAACCTGGACGTTCACGAAACATCAAATATTCCATACGCCGACGACGCGAGAGTGAATCGTAAGAATGGCGATCCATACTATAATTTACGTTTAATATACCGGGCTTGGGCAACCTCGTTGCTTGCCGCACTGGGCGCCCAAAAATTAACGATAGCCGCCACCGACATTAATAATGGTTCAAATTTACCTTGCGTACCCCCAAATAAATTCACAAATTGGGTACCAAACGCTCAGGGGAGCGCAGGATTATCAAAATGCCGATGCCGAAGAATAACAGGACTTCCGGGGAAAAATTGGGGGATTCTGCAAAATAAACAAGATGGCCGACGCGCATCACCGCTACATTTGTAAACACGTTGACGCTTGCGCAAAAATGCTATTTTTTCGTCGTTCTGCGCCACTTTCATTAACCGCGGCAAATTCAAATCTTATTTGCAGTCTGAGAACGAGTATCCTCCCAGCAAAAGTTTAAAAATCTCTCATTATGTTCTACTTAGTTAAATAAATTACTACACTAAAATTGAGGGGCTTAGAAGACAAGTCGGATAAGAGCAGTTTTTGGGAGAAGAAGAGATATTATTAATGATTTAAATTAAAACTAGTCTTAAAATATCTTCTGTGAAAAATTCAGTAAGTATACCTATATACCATTTTTCAAGAACCATTTTTTTTTTTTTTTTTTTTTTTTTTTTTTTTTTGGAATTTTGAGAATAGTTGTACTTTATCCTTTACATAAATCCTGGGGGGAGGGGGTTAATAAGGGGTGGTGTTGATAAGTTCAATCTTTCAAATATTTACAGTAATCATAATCTAGTGCCCACGAGGTACTCTCTAACATGTACTATTTCACTCATTCATTAGGTAATAAAGCACGAATTTTTAGGGACTAAAATCCAACTTTTAAACACTCCAACACAACAATTTTCATCCAATTTTTTTTTTTCTGTCGCGAGGCTCTGAGAAATTTTTCAACTTTAAACACGTATTTCTTGAGATGGCAAAAGCTGCAATTATCTATCTTGTCCTCCAAGCCCCTCATAATTTTGCTTTAAGTAGGTATTTACCTGCTGTTAATAGTTCTGAGTGAGGGAATTATGAAGAGATGCAGTCAATCAGTTTTCTCAGGAAAAAATAAAACATGAGCAGAGACATATGATTTTATAATCAACCCTTTTTCAATTTTCTAGCCATCAATAATTAACACCGCCCATCTTATTGTACCTAGCATTCAGTTCTCCCCTTGCGATTAATGCCATGTACCTACCAATTGTAAGCTAAATAGGAGAAGGTCAACTCTCGACCCATGAATAGACTACATCTTGATTGCTGAGTCTCAAGTTTTTTGCTCTTTATCTCCTTCTTTGCAATAAACAATTATTAAGTATATCTTGGCATAAAATTTTAAGGTGATTTTACAGACAGAGAGGAATAATCAAGCATAACTTGGCAAATAATAAATAGCAAGTTCTTCCTCAGTCAAATTAACTGTAACAGAAATGTTCAAAAAAATAATAGGTACCTAGATACAGTACTGTCACAATGATAAGACTGTGTTGGGGCAGCATCCTTGTGTTTCTTTCATCAACTATTCTTTGCTGAGCAGGTCCTGCAAAACAATTTCATTCTTTTTATCAATATATTCTCACCCATTATTGGTGGGTAGTTAAGCCTCTGCTCTACTAAATAATATTGATTTTTTTCTACCTACCCATAGCTCTCCACCCTTGAGAAAAAGTTACCGTTGCTGCCCTAATAATTAAATTAAATTCATGAAACTTTTTTTTTCTATTCTGCATAGAGACAAGCAACCTCTTCACTCCTCCAGACTGGAATTAAGAGAGGAAAAAATAGTTTCTTTCCTAATTTGAGGTGAGGACTCGATCGATATTTTAGGTATTCTTGTATTAAAAAATAGTTTCAATTTTTAAGATATATTGCATTTTATTTTCATACTTCATCATTAAAACTCTACCGCCTCTTTATCGAGTAACCTTGATTGATGAATCTCCAAGAGATGTTACATTCACCGATTAATCCTAATGATCAGCTCACTGATGATGAGAATATTCTCCTCATCTTTGCTGTGGTTCCTACCAATTTTTGAGGTGAGGAGGACTCCGTTCAAGGGATTTTCTCTGATTTATTTATTTAAAGTAGTGTCAACTTTAAAGGAAAAGTAGGGGAAAAAAGGGCACATATGAATGAAATATTCAAAACATTTATCTTTTTGTTTCATAAAAGTCTAAGTTTTAACAAATGAAGTGCACAACAAACGGTGCTATAACAAGAAAATGATGTAGGTACATGAGTGATGAAATATGCAAGACATGTATCCTGATAGTGACACTCAAAATCCTCGCTACTGCTTTACTTTTTTAAAGGTAAACCAATATTGAATAAAAATTTCATTGTTGAATAAATAAATGAATGTTCAAAAGTTCAAAATGTCCACAAAATGTTCTGAACAAGAAGAAGAATCAACAGCAAAAATTTCAAAAAATAACATTTGTTGGTTATTATCCTTTGAGAAAATAATAAGTACATTACAAGAGATCTGTGACATCACAAATGGAGACACGCATTTTGCAACTTTCACCATTAATATACACTTACATATATTTTGTACATATTATGCCACAGGTGGAAATTAAGTTTCATTACTTTTGTTCGGAAATGAGATAATGAGACAATAGGACTAATGTGGGCTTCTGTAAAATCTAGAATAAAAAATATGTAAACTATTTTACAGATCAGAACAGGTGTTCAAAAGATAATGTGCACTAACTTATAAAAGGAGTAATTAACATGAAGATAAGTTGCTCAAAAAGTCCCAAATTAATAAACGGCTCGAGAGATAAAAAATAGTCAAGAAAGGGGTATTTCTAGTTATATTTTACTGCAATTTAGCATCAGTTTGCCCTAAGTGAGTGGCATTGAAAGTTTTGATTTGCCAACGAAAAAAACGAATAAAAATTACCGAGTGAATGGAGCAACGTTTTGATGTCCATGATGCATTTTTGCCCAGTCATTATGGACCTCCTTTCAGCAAATACACAAAGTAGTCATGTTAGCGTAATAAATTACAACTTAGTCTGATGACTAGAACTGCCTATACATCAATCTATTTGCTTCATAGTTTTGTTGAAATATCATTCATTGTCATTTGTGCGGTGTATTCCTTTCTTTCAAGTGAGCATTAGTCCTTTTATGTCTTGTCCTAACTGCGAACACCCTGTTAACTCACTGCCATTTGATTTAATTTATTCTGGAAAGAAAACCACCAGTACAACAGAGATGGCTGTGGTTTGTATTATGATTCTTAAACATTTCTGTTAGGATTTTAATAAAATTTTGTACTTTTAAAAAGCTCAATGTTAGCCAAAGGTTGTTGATGGTAATAATTGTATATTTTAAAAATAAATGTTATAATGTTGTGTTGACTTGTACAATCCCCAAAGGGGAGTAAATGTACCAATGAAAAAATATATGAATAAATAAATAAATAAATGGCAGACAAAATCTGGTCAAAATGCCCAGTCTATATTTAAAACGTCTGCGTTCAATGGCTCTGCTTTAGTTTTGATAAATGTTTATCTATGGCTCCGAATTGCCATGGCCACCTAACATTATACAAAAAGGGGCGATGATCAAACCTATTATCATCAGGACTGTACGTCTCAGCATGATAACTTGGAGTTAAAATTGTTATTTTGTGACGATTTATTGCGTAATGACGGAAAAAGTGTTTGACTTTATCGGCAACTTCTTCCGAACTACATTTTTTTGACCAGATAGGTAGTAGTTGACAGAACATCGAGTAAGGCCCACAATATTCTTGCTTGCGTAATTTACCATACACAGTTAATTCTTCGTAAGTCATACCCATGTCCGCCTCATCTGTTTGCACCAATTCTTCTCCTGCCAAGGGCTCAAGTTCTGCTGTTGGAGGTGCAGAGAGAATTTCATGGAGGGCTGTCAAATTATACTTGGAAGCAGTGTACTTTAAAAATCCTTTCAAGTCTGTTTTTGATATACCACCAATTGGGTTCACGTCGGCACTGGAGCAATCATACTTGGTGTAATATCCTCGCAACGCTTCGTCTACATTGGCAGACCCAAGAACTAACAGACCTCCATCCCTTCCACGCACCCACAACATTAATTGAGCGAATAAATACGATAGAACCATTCTTAGCCGAGCTTGAATATTTTGTAAGGCTAAAGATTCTCGACTTGTACCACCATGAGCCGCAAATTTTGGCTCTCTTTTTGTGAGTAATTTGAAAATGGCTAGAACAGCGGATACCGCTGTATCTATAACAATACTTGAATGGTAACTACCAATTTGTGAGGCCAGAAGTTTAGCTCTGTCATGTGTTTGTTTAGAAGAATTTTCCGAGCCCATGTAACAGGTTACGAGCACTTTGTTACACAGGTCTAACGGGTTGGTTGGTTGATAATTAGGATCTCCAACTATACGGCGTACATCATGCAGAACATCTGCGTTACCATTTTTCACAGAATTAACAATTAAATTACACATTGAAAACACGATACAAGCAGAACTTGAAGAGTCAACACCACCACTTAAAGGTAAAAAGTAGCCACCTTGACCAGATCTTCTAAGGTAATCCCATAGCCAGCAAGCTGGGCCTAGCGCAATCTCTTCTTCTGGACAGTAAAAATTTGGCTTAATTGGTATGGATGGTGAGAGTAAGAGATCATCTGAAGATAAACAAAAATCTTGTAAAATTATCCTCTTATATGGTTGAGCAGATCCAGCAATACTTGCACGAGAGCGTAATGCATTCCTGTAGGTTCTGATAAAATCTAAGTCAATCGTTGCTGTGGAAACTTCCACTTCTTTCAACGTGAACTGCTCTGCTTGTCTGATCAAGTTACCATTAAGATAGATACAAGAATTACCATTGAAATAAAACCGTTGACCATCACAGCCTCTTAAATTACTATAAAGGTAGCAGCCACCACATTTGAATGTTGCTGCTTTGATTAAATCTAACGTAACACTGGCCTTGCGCAATTCCATGTAGGAGCCCGAACCATTTAAAATAATCTCTACACCATCCAAGGACAAAGGAACATGTGAACTTTCTGGACTCCATAGTTCTTCACATATTTCAAAACCAAAACAGGCATCACCTGTGGCTATCACAGCATCTCCAAAAGGTACGACTGTTTGATTCACAATAGCACTGACGAAAGATGGCAGGAAGTAGTCTTCAGTTTGTCGAACCTGAAACCACAATTAAAGAGCGTAATTAAAAATCCTGAATTGAATAGATTTTCTTGAATAAGGCACTTTCTCCTACTTATGATCAAATAACATTAATTGTAAAGGTTTTGATGTTTTTGGCACGAGGAGAAATGCTAGAATATCAGCCAAGAAAACTGATAAAAATAGAAATAGTTATAAATAAACTTCAATTTCATGGGCTTTTGAACTTTTGGTGCGCCTGGTAAATGGCTGCAATGTTAGCCAAAAAAGCTAACAGAGAAAGATAGAGCACCAAAAGGACTGAGCATAGACATGAGAATGAAGCGCAAACAGCTGAAAATAAACATAGGCTCCATATAAATTAAAGGTATCACGGCAAAAGCAGGACCACTTCGAAATTTAGGGAACAAAAACAATTGTGAGGTTTCCACTTATTTTGGATCTCAAGTCTCCTGACCACTGACTTTTAGGATTTTATTGTATTTTTCTAAAATCTTCAATTCTTGTGCTTTCAGTGAATTTTCTCCATAGCACGAAGCAAATTTCTTAAAATTTTCAAAGGAATCTGCACAAACTTTCTCTCGTAAAAAATTGAACTGCCCAGTTAAATTTGGCAATAGCTGATGTGGCTTAGTTCCTTTCTGTAAAACGCGGTCCAATGGGGTAGTTGCATGCAGCTGGGATTTTAGATCTGATGACTGTTTCCAGCAGAACTTTTCGCGAAAAACCCATTTTTCGCATTTGCAAGTTCCAAAATTGAGTCAAAAGCTCCATAAAGGCTTGATAAAAAGTCATACTTCGTTAGCTAAAAATAAATATTAATAATAGAAAAATACTTTTATCACATTCACACGCTCACCTACTCAGTGAACTTCAAATAACTCAAGCGATTTTTCAACTCATGAAAGACTTAGTCAGATTCCAACTATGAAAGAAAATTTCCAAACTTTTACACACCAACATTCTCAAAACATAGGCATTTCTTTCGCCAAGGTGGAAGGGTTCTTTACACTCAAGAACATAATGGTCACTTAGGAAGTGAAGCATTTTGAAAGTTCCTCTTCCCCATACTTGGATTTTGACAGTTATTAGAGACACTAGCTTTGATCTTTCCTTTTAACACCACAATTCCTCTTAATTTCAAATAATATTTCATTACAGGTAAATATCTAGAGCTGAAACTCAAAATAACAAAGAAATAGATTCATCAATTATTTGATTCCTTTACATCATACCTTGTGCCAGGCAGTAAACCATCTTGATTCTCTGTAATTTCCTGAGTCACACAGAATTAATTTGGGACGGATCAGTAGGATTTGCCTGAAATATCGCAACAATCATTGGGTAAGACGAATCAGCATTGATGTGAAAATAAAAAAATTCATTATGATGATCCTTCAATATGCAAGACTAGATTCACATTCAATGGCATATTTTAAGCTACCTACTATTTCTTCCACCATCAATTGGTAGGTGACCAAATATGTGAGGGAAGAAAGATTTTTCTTCCCATTTCTATGCAATTCTATATTGTCCTCTGGTTTTTGTCCTCATTGATTTGTTGAAAAAATAGATGTTGAAGACCTGATTATATAAAGATACAGCATTAGTATTGATTTAATTTCTCACTTCTTTCTCCAGTCATCTTTTAATCTTCTTTTTTTTAAAATTCCAGGAACTGCTAATTGCTGAATTGATCAAAAGGTGTTAATTGGCAAGGGAAAATAAAATTGATTTTGGTAAATTCTGGTAAAAAAGTATTTTTCCTTGGTTAGCTGTTGCGTTTCCTGCCTGGGTGTTTTCGTAAAACAGTTCCTGCCAAGCCAGAAAACGACGCAAAAAATGGCAGAACTGAAACAAAAATTGAATCGGTTTCTAATTTGGGTGTGAATCCAAAAACTCATGATCTCTAGCATCATGCATGATCAACAAAAGCTAGAGCTCATGATTTTTAGGACTCACGCCTGTCTAACAGAAACCAATTCAATTTTGGCCTGTTGCCACGAAGCTATAGTTTTCTGTAGATTACTTGCATGACTGGTACTCTACCATATCATTCCTCAAAGAGCCTCTTAACAGCGCAATGAAAATGAGCTATTCAAAATGCCAGTCACTGTGACCCTTAGGCTCAGAGCGATCTGAAAAAAAATGGTCACGCTGACCAGCTTTGCAAAGAATTTATAAAAATTAGAGAGAACTCTACAGACTCAATTCCATCCAGTTTTTGGAATCCAAAAATTTTTCTGACCAGAAAGCACAATGTGAGAGTATATTTTTTCTATCAAGGTGAGGAAAAAATCTGATGACAAATTCTTAAAAAACTCATTGAAAAAGAAGTACAATATGTTTGCACATTGGTTTTGCATCTGTTTTTATCTTAGTATGTACTGAAAATATTTACTGTACTTTTGATCAGATTTATAATTGTAGTAAGTTCACGAAAAGCAAACCAGACTCAGGAGCAAAAATTGAATTTGAACTTACAGGAAATCTGAAATTGTAATCCATTTTTTTTTTGAAGTGACGCATCACCAAACAAGCTAGTCTCAAGGACGGTGTCTCCAATGTTTTGATATTTACGAGTAAATTTATACAATTGCATAATGAATAAATAAATTACGTACAGATATTTGTGGTAAAGTAACTACCTTTTTGTGTGTGTTAGAAATCAAGTTTGAGATCAGTTGACTTACTTGTTCAGTAAAATCACTCTGCAGTTGTATAAGGTATTCTTGTGCATTACTGGCATCCCAATATCAATTATGATATCTCTGCATGAGTCATTCCGTAGAAGTTCTGCAACGACTTCCCATGAATGTAGAGTCGTGTCACTTTCCAGGAAATGATCCTCACATGAGTAGCCACTGGAAAAGTTTGGTGGGTAAATTACAAAGAGGCAATTATTTTTAGCTTCGAGGAAGAGATTTCACATTTGAAGTATTTGAAGAAAAACGATTGAACGAGTCACAGTCCAACAAAAAATCCAAAACCATCATTTTGAGGAGGCATGGGTTCGAGGAGAGATGGATTAAGCTGGAAAAATTTGAAAGGAAAAATCGGATGTGCACCTCATAATACCTTTACCTACTGAGCTAGTTTCTGGCTATGTGAAATAAAAACGTTGGTATCTTCTTTCGGAGTTGGTTTCAGTAATTTTCGTTGCGCAAGTCGTGTTCTACGTGAAATCCTGGTTAAGAAACATGTATCAGAATCCTTCAACTCGTACCTTCTCTAGTGGTCCATTGGCTGATTGTAAGATTATGTCACGTAAATTTTTGCTTCACATTTAAATTTCTTGAGTTTGCTTTGTTACTACAAACAGTAGGAATAATTTATTCAGAGGCGTAATCTGACAGATGCAACCAGTGTAAACGCTCCCCATGCCCCAAAATCTGTCTCCTCATCCCATCCAGTATCAATCTATGAGACAAAATTGGACAAGTATGCCTAGGGGTAGAAGTATGAGCAGATGGGCCTTCACAGAACCTTAAAAATAATTTATGTGAACAAGAATCGATATATCTTACCTTACTTCTAACTCAGGTCCGGTTCTTAATCTGGCTCCTTCCTGTTTGGCAAGATGTATACTTCGCACAATCCTCTCATAATTGCCCTGAAAATCTAAAGCCCATTGATTGAGGGTGCTCACAGATGCAATTACTTTTCGTCCCATCATCTGAAAGCAAAATGGAAAAGATTAAAGAATCAGAGACACGATCCTAGATTGCTGTTGTGAAAAGTAAGTAAGGAGATAAATTTAAATATTATTACTTATTAGATGGATGAAATATAATTAAACTTACTGTAACTAGGAAATTATCAGCTTTGTCGTAAATTTTGGCCTGAAAACTAATAGGTTTGATCAATAACAACCGAGGAGATGACTTCCTCGCATGGTTGCCCTTGGTTACAGGACAGAATCTTAAGACTTACTCACGGATAACTTAATCAACCGATGAGGAGGGGACTTCAGTTACCCTGTGTTTCAGATAACTTTGCCTCTTGAACTATGCACAGGATAGGGAATTCCTTCCCTATTCGGCATGTACGGAGAATAGGGCAAAATCATCTAAAATGGACTCAAGTTGATTATTCGTTCCAAGAAAGGGCTTACAATATTTGACTAATATTCTACAGAACATGGCCAACCAATCATACAGCTTCAATTTATCATGATCGCTTCATGCCCAACAGAAAAACCTGCAATCAAGCCCACGGGCAAATCGACAACAACAAATTTCAATTGGCCGTCAGTGCGCCGATTATTGAAAGTTTAAAGCAGCGTGATAAGAGATCGAAATGACATATATTTCATGGTAGAGATAGGGCCTTTTCCTGCTTTATTACAGCAACATCCTTTTTATTATCAGGCCTCTGCTGAATGTATAAAATAAGAATAAGTACCTGCCAAGAGAGATAACCTCAAATGAGTACAATGAACCAAACCACTTACAGAGCATGAAAATTAGGAAAAGGCAGATAATCTTTTCATTCACCAGTCTGAGAGTGAGGGAAGTATTGCATGTAATGTTTGTTTCAATGAAATTTTCAGAGACAGAGTGGATGCAGAGTCCCGTTCGGGCAGAGTGTTGCAGAGGCTGAATAAAAAATCATTGTGCTCAGTTTAAAAGTAAGTACTTACGTACACAAAATTAGAAGAAAATCACAGGGAGCTGCAATCTACCATAATACTCTTTGAAATATTTGAAATGACTTGAGGAGGAACGCAATAGAAATTCTAAATTCGGAATAAAAAGCTAATATTTTGAGTGTGAGTGTGAGTGTGAGTGTGAGTGTGACAGCGTGACTGATAACAACAATAACAACATGAGAGAAGTGATAACACAAATATTCAGTGTTGACAAGTCGTTGACTTACACAATACTCGATTACGTCTTGTGGCAAGACGGTATCGGGATTGCTGATCCCGATCGATGTGTTACATTTAACAATGCTGACAGAAAAATTCTGACTAAGGCAACACGAATTTGTACCCTGTCCTGTCGCCTAGTCGCCTAGGTCAATGATTCGCCTTCAATTGGCTGGCTATGCAAAATGACTGTCGTGACGCACGAATAGTGGTATCAGATTTTACCATTCAGATTGCATAGTGGGTTGAAGGCGCTCTTCTGTATCGTATCAGAGTGGCCCTGTACAAAGATGTTGAACAGAAATGTTTAGAATTTTGGAGTCTTCAATCGATTCGTGATTTTGAAAAATGCCCGAAGAACATTATTGCACTTTCCAAGATTTTTTTTTTCCTGTAATTCTTATTTCAGAAAAGAGAGCCCAAACGCTCGGTTCTGATTGTGGTTTTATGTCTTGTGGTTTTGGCTATCGTACTCTAATGCAAAATTGAGAGAGTCGTCGTTTACAAGATCGCAAGATGAAGTCTGAAAAAGCATCTTATTCTTGCTATCCTCAAGAATTATTGCCCCTCTACTAACAAAAAAGAGGAATGTACACAGTTTTTTTTACTCTCTAGGAAAATCGTGTTTTCCGAGATGCGCATTTCTGCACTTTCACCATCGATGTATATTCCACTACAGGCCTCGCATGCCTTGGATAGGCGATTGTGTAGGTAAGAACGGTTGGTCATCATCTATGGGTTAAATAAAAAATAAAAAATAAAATAGACAGTGACACTGCAGGAACGCGTAGCTCAGATTGCGACGTTGCAAACTTTCTGTCTTGCTTCATTTTCAAATGGAAAAATATAAGTCCTCAACTTCATTCCTCGAAAACTGACTCTCCCGCAGTCTCTGATTTTCTCTTCTCTGTGTGAAAAATACCGGTTTGCGGTTTTGTTCTTTCCTGGTGGAATAAATTGAGAGCGGAGATTCAGAGACGGACTAGCCATAAGGCCAATCTGCCTTTGGCAGATACGCCCCCCTGACGCATCGAAGAGGCGCCCCTCTGCTAGATATAGCAAAATAAGATGAGGGAAGAAATGCGGGAAATTCAAAAATGAAGAAAAAAAGAGCGAAAGTTAGAGTAAAAAAAGTCCTCGCACGCATGATAGTGGAGACTGGAGGTCCTGGAAATATAAACCGGATTTAAGTCTTCGGAGGGGCCTGGGCCTACAAAAATGCTGGAAAATTAATGTTTTGGTTTTCTTTATTTGCTGAATTCAGATTTTGTATCCGTAGCTCAATTTTTTGAAGAGGAGAATGTGAAAAATTGGGACATACTGGTTTAATCAACAAGCTGCAATGAATGACAATTATTTTTATTTCACTCACTGGCAGACACCCGATTAAATAAAATGCAAACTTACGATATTACGTTTTTAGCCTTTGCTATTACGTGAAAAATTAGTCACTCCTCGTCGTAAAATTAGATTTGAGGCATTGAAAATTTTTGTCGATTATCGTTCTCGGAACAGGGGTGATGAGCGTCATTAAGTGAGGAAATCAAAATAGCTCTCGAAACTCTGTCAGGGGTCAGAATACCTATACATTAAATTTCTAAGATCGGTGTAAAATTCTTTTCTTCGAAATTTTCACCTTTTTGGTAACATAGAGACGCTTTATCGCCCCCCGTCCTCATCAGCCATGTGTCACTCTCTCAGAGGATGTAGCATAGTCAATTTGTAGACGTGCGCCTTTTTGATCGCTTGAGAGACCTTTAACATTTTTTTTTCTTTTCAAAATGATAAGTAATTGATTAGGGCACATCCTATTTACGGCTGTGTTGTTAATACACCCTTTAAAACAGCACTAAAAATAAGAATTAAACAAACTGAAACAAACACAATATGGAAATGGTGCAAATGGAAAGACGGCGCAGGGATACAACTATTCGTGCTTGATGGATGTCTGTGTTGCATCTGCAAAATTGAAGGCGCGGTGGCGTGATGGCGCGAGCTGTGAATTCGCGATGTTCCGCAGCTCCGCTTTGTGCAGCTAGTGAGGTGTCGTTAGAAAATTAAGAAACGAGGCTGGATTATTACGGCTCTACTATTTACGGCTGTGTTCCTCATACAGTATTTCAAGCACCGCTACAAATACAAATAAGACAAACGGAAACAAACGCAGTATGGAAATACAGCAAAGTAAAAGGAGGCGCGTTGATGACGGCGCAGAGATACAACTATTCGTACATGATGGATGTCCGTGTTGCATCTGCAAAATTGAAGGCGCGATGGCGCTAGGCGTGAACTCGCAGTGCTTCGTCCTATGCTGCCAGTGAGGTGTCGCTCAGATTCGAGAGAACAATTTAAAAAAACTAGGCCCGATTACGTCTCGACTCTGTTGTTCCTCAATTTTTTCTTCTTTCCGTCTTTCTTTTGCCGTTCCAAATTGCAAAATGAGGTTCGATTATTAATAGCGGTCATGTTCCCACGTTATTGCTTTCGACTGTCTAGTTTCATTGTTAGGTACTCCACACATAGATGCTAAAAATGGCAATGGCTCGATTGCCCCCCCCCCTCTTCTTAAAAAAAGTCACTGCGCAACAGGCTTATAGGTACATAAGCACCGAATCCTTCAATAATTGGACTGCATTTTGCAATTTGGAACTATAAATTCTGACTTTTCTGGAAAAACACTTATTTGCATAGGGAAACTAATGGCACATACGTTGTTTTTAAACCGGGCCAGAATTTATAGTTCCAAATTGCAAAATGTAGTCCAATTGAGGGGCTTGGAGGACAAGGCGCATAATGGCAGTTTTTGCTATTTCGAGAAATACGCGTTCGAAGTTTCGAAATTACATCAATCCTCATTGTGGAAAGAAAGTTCAAACTGACTTTTTGATGATTAACATTTGGAATTTGGGAGCGAATTTTTCATAGAACATGCGTAAAGACTAGTTATACTTGAAATCGTTAATAACCCAATTTTTTTTTTAAAAATCTGCAATTATGCACCTTGCCCTTCAAATCCCTTAATTACGAAAAGTCAGCACGTTTTTTCTCACCTTGCACTGCATTTAAATTGCTGGAAGATGGAGTAGGAACTTTTTGGCTAAGAATTCGATGAAAACTGTCGGCAAGTCTCTTAGATCACGAGCGAATCGTCTAGATACAACCTCGGATCATTTATTTTAAGTGCGGCACGCTTGTATGAGTAGTAGTGAATCGGCGCCACTGAAAACACAAACAAGCTGAAGAATGTCAAAGACGAAAAAGATACATCATAGTGACTTTTTTGTAATTTAACAGAAGCATGCTCTGGAAATTAACAAAATTACGTGGAAGTTTATGACACCAATAATTTCTTAATTCAAAACGAAAAGATACGAGAAAAAGATCTCTAATTCAATTTTTGCGAATGTGCAAATATGGGGCGTAAAATTTCATTATAATCCAGCACCATGTATACAACTGAATTACCTAGATATCCATAATAATTTCTGAGCATGGGATATTGGAATTTCAAGTAGGTAGTTTTCTCTCAAAACTGCAATCGTTGAACTGCTGGTTCCAAACCGTTCTAAGTCCGGTTTGTTTTGATATCCCAGGATATTTTTCGTTCCAATGTATTTCAAACTAAATTTTACATGAATTTAGATTGACTACATGAATAATCCGAAGAAGTGGTGACATTTTTTACTATATAGTTTCAATAGAGGGATTTTGCCGAGGAGGAGGGGGGATTTTTTGGAGTGCCGAGTCTAAAAGTTACCTTCGTTTGTCTTATGCATACCTACATCGATTTCCTTTCTCTTCGGGAAAATCTCAATTTTCCAGAAATTGGTGGGTACTGAGAAAAATTGAGGCCATCTTCGAACTCACAAGCATGCGCTGAAGATTACATGAGATTCAACCATTATAATCCTGACGATTTTTTTTTGACCTGTGTAATTCATGAAGGAAAATACGGCGCAAAAACACATTTTTCACAAAAAAGTTCAGTTAAATCAATGGCCGATTTTCATTTTGCCGGCCATTTTTTTCTGAAGTATTCCTCGGTAGTTTCCCGCGTTCAGATTTAGAAATTGAGAATTTTTCATAATCTCGTTAAGACCACCCGCATATTGTTTGAGAGGTTGTCCCAGAGCCCGTTTAGCGCCCCCCCCCCGTTAGAACCTTGGGCAGTTAAAAAAATCAGGGCCTTACGTCTGTAATCGCATTGGGGTCGGCGTCGGCGTCGGCGTCGTTCACAAGGGAGCCAGACGGTTTGCTTTGCAGGATATCCAGACAGATGTCTAGACAGGGTAACGATGAAACCGGCCTGAAAGACAGGTGAAAACGAACCCTAGACACACGCAAATTCCTTGATAGTGAGAACGATTGAACGTTCCTCCCGGAGACGACCAAATTTCGCTCTCAAAACTTCGAAACGATTACATAAGAGGGAGCGACAAAGGGACTGTTCGGCTGCCCGTCCAGGAAAGTGTCTCTGAAACGTCAAAGGTTGGGGGAGAGCCGAGCCCACACACACACACGCACACCTGAACACGTCTAGTCTGCGTCTTTCAGTTCGCCAGATAAAAATTCCTGGTGGTTTCAGACCGTCCGAGTACACGTGCGACCCTCCCCCTCCACAATGCCTGTCCTGTTGCTCTTTCCTTTGCTTTTGCTTGGTGCTAGTTCAATTGAGTGATTGACTCCCACACCGCTACACGTATAGTGTTCGTCCGGTCTCAAAAATAGTCTCGCTCAAAATCTAAAATCAGATCACTCATCGTAAAAACGTTTCTTTTAAATTGTGCTTCTCTTCTCGTAATGGAATTTTCAAGGTATCGTGAGTGAATCCTCGCTAAAAGTAATCGTGGTGAGAAAGGCAATACCCGAATGAAATAACGCCTCCTCTACTTCGTGAAATTGCAGCCCAAGAATGTCACGCTGAAGTCGAGCAGATGGATTTCCGTAAGTAATTAATTTTTTTTATGTCCTCCTAAAATGCGAGTTTATTTGAAGGGCTTGGAGGAGAGGGCGCATAGGTGCAGTTTTTGCTGCTACGAGATACCTATACGTGTTGGATGTTTCGAAATTATATTGATCCTTTTGGTGGAAAGAAAGTTCAAACTGACTATTTTATGCTTAAAAATTGAAATTCGGGAGTGAATTTTTCACAGAATGTTGTTAATAACTCATCAATTCTTTCAAAAACTGCACTTATGCGCCTTGTACTCTAAGCCCCTCATTTTATTTACTTCACATTTCCTTCAAAGCTTCAATCCTTATGCCGTATCTAACTCACAGACTTATTTTCTCCCATCCCGAAAATGAGACGCCCTATTCTCACTTTAAATCATAGCTCTCATTCCTTTCATACATTTCAATAATTATTTTCTTTTGGTTTTTTTTTTAGAGTTTCCCACTTCCCAACTTGTTTATAATGAGCTTACGAGTCTTCGAACGGTATGTAGTCGTATTTTTTTTACAATACCGCACGTTTAATGCGGTCAGCTTAAAAATTTTCTGAAATTTTACGTTTTCAGCATTGTATCATATTTAGTGAAAGTTACAACAAATTGCGTACGTTTGCTTCAATTAAAATGGATAAAACGTTAAAGGAGGTTTTGAGAGGATGAAATTGCATTTCCATCGGATAAAGGATAATTTATTTTCAGCTGACTGAGAGACTTTAACGCAGGAGTAGAAAAGTTGCTTGAACCAAGAACCGAGAGCGAGACTAATGATCGGGCAACTGTCAATATTCTTGCTCTAATTTTTTATATGATTTCATCCACACTCTAATCTTAAGTATTTGCTAAGCCAAGGAAAATCCTTGACTTTCGTTACAAATAAATATTTTATTAAAGATTTGGCAACATTCGAATGTTTTTACCAAATTCAGCCTCGGCAAGACGGAATTGGGGAGACCACGAGAGACGGATTGCTCCCGCCCCTCACATTAGATTCATTGTATGACTTTTTCTTGAGAGGACATTTTTATCTTTAGGGGCAATTATGGCGTTAGGTGCAGGAAGAGCGCTTCTTGATTGCGGTGTTTTAGAATCTTTATTGCTAAATTATATTTCAGAGAGAAAACTATTTGGTGCGGATTTTCTGAAATTGTTAGTTTTCAGCATTGTATTGTTGTTTTGCGAACGTAAAATCGCAAAGAAACCAAGAAATGACCGTTCTCCACGCAGCGCTTCAATTTTCCAGATTTTTTAAAATCTACTCCACCCTCCTACTAACGAAACTTATCTCCTTCCGCACAATTTTACTTCCGCCCTCTTTTAAGTTTTTGTAACAATAGTGATCTTGAGCAAACGACGAAACGTATTTCTTGCACGACGTCATACTGCCGCGCAAAGGAAGAACGCCGTAAAAGCCCTCAAACTTTGCCACATTTTCTTTGATAAATGTGACTTTTCATAGGAATCTGTGAATATTTATCTTCCAATTATTCATAAAATTTTATTTTATTCGCGATCAGATTTCAACTGTCTGAAAAAGTCATTGGAAATTACTCACAACTCTCCTCCAAAATAAACATTATCACGGGGAAATTCGGCAACTGTCGAATACCGACACAGCATTTTCTTTAGGATCGGACGGCAGTACTGCCGTGCTTCGGAAAAACGCCGTATGAACCTTCAGAGATTGTCCCTCCAATAAAGAACTGATTTACTTGAAAAATTAGGAAGATTTTTCTCCACATTTGTCGGACAATTTTTTTTTGCAATTTAATCTCAAATATCTGAAAATTTAAAGAAAAGTATGCATAACTTCCCTTAAAAATAATTATTTTAGTCGAGGAAATTTGGCAACTCTCGAATGTTGTTCGGCGTTTTACCTTAGCACGGCAGAGTATATCGTCACCTTCCAGGCAAATTATCACAAGCGCCATGCGACGTTTAAAAATTTCCGCCGCCATTTTATTTCTTTACTGAGAAATTGTTGGTTGAATCTGTTTGGAAATTTCACTAAAATCGGCAGCACAAAGAAAATTCAGTGAAATTTTCGGACAGCTTCGTTGAACACTTTCTCTGTAAAAAAATATAATGGCGGCGGAAATTTTTAAACGTCGCATGGCGCTTGTGATACTTTGCCCGGAAGGTGACGGTATATCTCGTAACGATGGAGATTTGCGTTTGATGGGGGGAGGAGAGAGGGCGAGATCAGTCCGTCAAGTTCTTCGTTATTCCGAGTGTCCCAGACAGGTGCCTTATCAGCATCGTTTTGACCAACATCACCTCTTTTGTCTTTAATGTTACCGATTTCTGTTTTCCTCCTCGCCCTCGTCTCAATTTGAGGATTTTCTCCGACTCCGCGTCGCCGACAGCCAGACTGTCATGCCAAGGGAGAACGCCGCATAAGCCTTCAGGCGTTACCAAATTTCCTTTAATAAAACACCAATTTCCTGGTAAACTTATGAATATTTTCCTTCCAATTTTTAGGATAATCTTGTCCGCAATTTAACCTCAAGTCCCTGAAAATTTCAAGGAAAAATATTCATATCTTAAAAATAAACATTTTACCAAAGGAAATTTGGCAACTCTTGAATGTTGATACCGCGTTTTTCTTTACCACGGCAGAGAAGCCAGACCGAAATTCACCAAGCCGCCCGGATGTTCGGCACGTTTGACCACCCCTAGTCCCCCTAGTCCTTTACCCCCTCTCCAAGAATGATCGGAGACGTTACCTGAAACGGCCGTCGTGGCTGAAGGAAAGGAACGGCACGTGGCAGTTCGGTTCGTGAAATCGAGAGTGTCGGTTCAATCCCTTCAGTCGCTCATGATTTTGAAAAGCTTAATTTTCTGTCCGGTTGGAAGTTTGCTGTGTGCAACGAGCAGAGTTAACTATGTCGTCACTATAGTGTCAGTCATCATTGTATGGGTTTTCAGTACCCGTTTTTTCGCGGTTTAACTTCATATTTGGTTCGAGGATGTCATTTGTGAAGTCAGTTTGTCCATACATATGTGAACCACTCAATGTTAATTTGGTGAGTCGCTGCTCATTTCATCCAAGTTTTCCTTTTCAAACGAAATGTTTTTATGTACAGTACCAGTCTCTGACTTTAGAGTCTCTGAGGAGCGTTTTTTCCTTTTAAGGTGATTCGCTGGACGCCATATTTTTTGTCAGAAAGGCATGCGATGTATCTCATCAATTGGTTCCATTTTTTCAGCTACTCGTCATTTTTCTCCAATTTTGAGATTGCAATTCTGTTGTCAGGAGACTAAAGCACTCACTTACCAATTTTAACAAATAAATTCAACGTAATAAAGGTGTAGGTTTTTTAGAGAGAAAATATCGCATTCGAGTGCAGTTTCGATATCAGTATCGAATGCGATATTTTCTCTCTAAAAAACCCACGCCTTTATTACGTTGAATTTCTTAGTTAAAATTGGTAAGTGAGTGCTTTAGTCTCCTGACAACAGAATTGCGATCTCAAAATTGGAGAAAAATGACGAGTAGCCAAATGAAACCAATGAAACGAAAAAATGGAACCAATTGATGCGATATATCGCCTGCCGTTCTGACACAAAATATGGCGTCCATCGAATCACCTTAATTTTCTCGAGGTTTCTTTAATCCTGAGAGTTTCACAGCCAGTGGGAATACCATTTCGCAACTCGTGTCGGATGTCATTGTATGAGTTATTGGTAATCTTATTTCCTCGATCCTTTTCGTGATATTTGGTTTGAGGATCTCTTTCAGGGAGTCATTTTTGTTCTTACGGTTACTCCCTCAATTTTCATTTGATGAGTCACTTGTCTGGATTGCAACATATTTTAAATGTTTATCTCTTGCCCCTTCATCGGCCACTACTAAACCGGTGCGGAATGAAGCATGCAACTTATCGAGCTCCTGCGTGTGTTGTGGTATCACTCGAAACTGAAGGGGCTGTCTTATTCGTCATTACCTATCGTCGCGTCTTCGTCACGCATCGTTGCGTCACGCATCGTTGCGTCACGCATCGTTGCGTCACGCTGAATGTCTGCCTCTGTCAGTCAGTAGTCAGACCGGATGTAAGGTGATTCGATGGACGCCATATTTTGTGTGAGAACGGCATGCGATATATCGCATCAATTGGTTCCATTTTTTTAGCTACTCGTCATTTTTCTCCAATTTTGAGATCGCAATTCTGTTGTCAAGAGACTAAAGCACTCACTTCCCAATTTTAACAAAGAGATTCAACGTAATAAGGCGTGGTTTTTTTTGAGAGAAAATATCGCATTCGAGTGCAGTTTCAATATCAGTATCGAATGCGATGTTTTCTCTCTAAAAAAAACCACGCCTTTATTACGTTGTATTTCTTTGTTAAAATTGGTAAGTGAGTGCTTTAGTCTCTTGACAACAGAATTGCGATCTCAAAATTGGAGAAAAATGACGAGTAGCTAAAAAAAAATGGAACCAATTGATGCGATATATCGCATGCCGTTCTGACACAAAATATGGCGTCCATCGAATCACCTTTTAAGATCCCTCGAGGGGTGCTGAATGTTCACAAACCAAGGACTGATCGGTCGCTCGCGAACTGCGTAGGCAGTGGAGAAATTGCGTATAGGCAACAACCTTGGATAATGGATGATGTACAATTTATTACGTTTTAATCTATGTGCGCTCCATTTTTGTGTGCGTCTTTCGAAGTTGTGCACGTCGCTTCCCTTTCGCATTTCCAAACAGCGTGCGCATCTCGAAACTTGGCGCGATTCGCTTGCCAAGTGACAAAGGATCGAATAGAGATAGCGCGACGCGTGAGGTATCCCTACAGTTTTGCAGGCGCCTTCCCGTGATTGGTTTTCGCGCAAAGTTCAACCTTTCGGACACTTTCTTCCGACAGATGAGGTCCTTTTTTACAGATCTGGTCACATTTATTATGAAGCAACGAAACTTCCTTCCATATCTACAACAACGGAAAAGGATTTGGTCTTTTCTCCGTTGACTTGAAGATTTTAACGCAAGGAGTAGGAAAGTTGAATCGGACGAAACGCGTGATACAACTATTATTTCGATTTCGAAGAAGATAAAATCGCATAACTACAACATAACGGAGAATCTCTTTTCGACTAACTCGGAGACTATGAGGTGATTCGATGGTTGCCATTTTTCGTGTCTGTGTCAGAGCAATGTGCGATATATCGCATCAATTCGTTCCATAATTTCAGCTACTCGTCATTTTTCTCCAAATTTTAGATCGCAATTCTGTTGTCAGGAGACTTCAGCACTCACTTACCAATTTTAATAAATAAATTCAACGTAATAAAGGCGTGGTTTTTTCAGAGAGAAAATATCGCATTCGATACTGATATGGAAACTGCACTCGAATGAAATATTTTTCCTCTGAAAAAACCTTGCCTTTAATACGTTAAATTTATTGGTCTTTGGTACATGAATTCTTTAGTCGCATGACAACAGAAGTGCGATCTCAAAATTCGGAAAAAACGACAAGTAGCTGAAATTATGGAACGAATTGATGCGATATATTGCACGTTGCTCTGACACAATGGCAACCGTCGAATCACCTTAACGCAGGAGTAGAAAAGGTGAATCAAACGAAACGCGTGATACAACTATTATTTAGATTTTGAAGAAGATAAAATTGTCAAACCATAACGTAAAGGAGAATTTTTCTTCGACTGACTCGGAGACTCTAACGCAGGAGTAGAAAAGTTGGACGGGGCAAAACGCGCGATACCACTATTTCGACTTCTGAGAGGATACATTGCATAACCACATAATGAAGGGGAATTTCTTCTGGGCTATCTCGGAGACTTTAACGCAGGAGTAGATAAGTTGTACGGGGCAAAACGCGCGATACCACTATTTCGACTTCTGAGAGGATACATTGCATAACCACATAATGAAGGAGAATTTCTTGTGGGCTATCTCGGAGACTTTAACGCAGGAGTAGATAAGTTGTACGGGGCAAAACGCGTGATACAATTATTTCGACCTCTAAGAAGATAATATTGCATAACCACAAGATGAAGGAGAATTTCTTTTCGGCTGTCTGAGAGACTCAAACGCAGAAGTAGAAAAATTGGATGGGTCAAGATCCGAGAGCGAGACTAGAAATCTGCTTCCGCCGCACGCCTTGCTCCACTGACCTGGGGGGGGGGGCACGATGCTCGAAGTATAGATACAGTTCTACAGACTCTTCCCGCGATAGTTTTCCGCACATAGTTTCAAATCGGAATCTGAATATTACATACTTGTGATCCTCAGGAGAGAAGTATTATTTAAAATTAAACCAAACCACGCTTTTAATAGAATATAAGAAGCATGTTCTGTCGATGGAGAGCAGGATTTCAGAAGAAATCGACTTTAAGGTGATTCGATGGACGCCATATTTTGTGTCAGAACGGCATGCGATATATCGCATCAATTGGTTCCATTTTTTAGCTACTCATCATTTTTCTCCAATTTTGAGATCGCAATTCTGTTGTCAAGAGACTAAAGCACTCACTTACCAATTTTAACAAAGAAATTCAACGTAATAAAAGCGTGGTTTTTTTAGAGAGAAAATATCGCATTCGAGTGCAGTTTCAATATCAGTATCGAATGCGATGTTTTCTCTCGAAAAAAACCACGCCTTTATTACGTTGTATTTCTTTGTTAAAATTGGTGAATGAGTGCTTTAGTCTTCTGACAACAGAATTGCGATCTCAAAATTGGAGAAAAATGACGGGTAGCTGAAAAATGGAACCAATTGATGCGATATATCGCATGCCGTTCTGACACAAAATATGGCGTCCATCGAATCACCTTAACCATGCCCTGGGTACATGGCGTCTTTTAGACCGGGCCCAATAATAATCGGACGTATTTCTGTCAAACGGAACTATGTGCATTAAGACATGAGCCCTGAGAAACATAAGAATATGTGCGTAACAGGACTCACGTCATAATGCACATAGTTCTGTTTGATAGAAATACGTCCAATCGATCCTCCTCATTTTTCACAAATTCATTTTTCAGTTTTTCCTGTGACATTAGGTTCTTCTAGACGCGTGTGGACTAAAATTTTAAAACGAAATGACGCACGGTTAAAGCCTGCTGCCTCCTACACGGTGGGGTCTTTCTCAGCAGGGCAATCATTTACAGCTTGTAAATGTCCGTATATTTCCTCAGGAGGGGGATCGGAAAAGTGAGCTAATAAGTTTGCTGAAGATTTATATAAAATCTATAAAATCAATAATTTTGTTTTTCCCCCTAAGTAAATCTTAGTTGAGACCCATATTCTTTTGTGATTCGAAGATGAGCCACCATCGTGGTCGGTATAAAGTTAAATTTTTTTTTAATTATAGGGATCGTACACATATGCGGAACGCGTCAAGGGGTACATGGTGGGAGGGCAATGTTGATATGCGCTTTTCAATTAAAGCAGCACAGGCACCAATACATTGAAATTATACGCTTAAGTTACTGCTATCAGATCGGAGTGTTGTGTGTGTAGCCTATTCATTATTTGAAGGGGATTCTCTTATTGAAATCTATTGTAATAAAATCGCGATAAGTTGCACTTTTTTTGTAATGTAAAATGCCTAACTGCCTCACACGTAGATATCTGATAGTTTACAGTGGGAATTTATTGACCAAAGGATGGAAAAAAAACAGTACAATTTTAATGGTAAAAAATGGTTTCTTCCAGTATCATGCAACATTTTTTCAAATTTCCTTTGCTCTATACTCCTTCGTAACGATAATAGTATACACATGATCATTTTATGTTGGATTTATTTATTGAAGCATTTATTTATTTCTTTTGCAGTCAATATTTTGTGGTCTCTCCAACATTTGTGAAGGCGGTGCACTAAGACAGAAGATTTTCACTCTATTGCGTCAGAGGTGTTCATAAATTTACAGACCCACACTTCATCACGGTAAAATCTCTCCAAGTACTTCCTGCTCTCAGAATCAATTGTGAACGAATCGAATTTTTGTCTATTGTCTCAATTTTCAAAGTGGACGGTTGCAGTATCCGTCCTCACCACTAATAGTAGCAGTCGCCATATGGGCGGTTTTTAGTAAAATCAGTCTAACTGCAATACTGCATTCCACGTTGCCGATTTAATTGAAGCTCTCAGACAACGGCCCAACTCGGGTTGATTACGATGTTAATTTTTTTGCGTAGGAACACTTCTTTCTTAGCTATTACGCAGTTTTTATCTTCTCCTAAAAAATTTCATTTTTTCGAGATGTATCGTTTTCGAACTGAGAGATTCGACTCTTTCTGATATTTTGTCAGCTTATACCAAAAACTAAGGAACTAAGGAAGAATCTGTGTAGAGAAAATTAAAGTAGGAGAGGAGGAAGAACAAACAGAGGGAGGAGAAGAGGAGAGAACATGGAAAAAGGAGGAAGAAAACGAGAAAGAAAGAAGAGAAAGAAGAATCGGAAGAAAAGAAGAGAGAGAACAGGAAGAAGCTAGACAAGAGAGGAGAAAGAGGAGCAGGAAGAAGAGAGAGGAAAAAGGAGGACAGGACGAAGAGAGAGAATAGGGGGCTTGAGAAAGAGGGAAGGAAGTTAGAGAAAAGAAGGATGGCAAGAAGAGAGAGAAGAATGGAAAGAGGAGGAAAATAAAAAGAAAAGGAAGAAGAGAATAAAGAGGAGAGGAAAGAGAGATGGAGGAAGAATTCGAGGAAGAAGAAGAAGGTTGAAGAGAGTAAAATAAGGATAAGAAGAAAAAGAGAAAGAAGATGAAGAAGAGTAAGGAAAAGAAAAGAGAAAGAAGAAGTAAAGATGTGAGAAGGATGAAAAGAAGAGAGAAACGATGAAGATCAAAAATAGCAAGGAGAGGGAAGGTGGGACAAAAAAGAAGATAAGGAAGAAGAAGCAGCACACATTCTGCATAAGAACATTGATGGTACCTGCGCTGTTTTAAAAATGAGCCTAAAATATTGATTCCTTATTGCAAAATATAGTTTTACATAATCAGAAATGAAGTAATGTTACCTAAGATTTCAGTGTTTTAATTCCTGAGTGGCATTAGGATATATCTGACATACGACGGCGAAACTACTACACCGCGTATCTCGTTTCGAATGAATGAAGTCATCTGAATGGATGGGAGTTATTGGTGAAAGAGGAAGGAATAGAGTTTTCGTGAGTGTTGTACATTTGGAAAATCAAGAAAAACATGAAATTGGTCAGATTATTATCCTCATTTTACATTCTATCGGTTATTTTCATTTCGTCCCTCTTCTTTTTAATTAGGGATGCTAGTTGTATTCTTAGGTATTAAATATTTTCCATAGCAATAAATTATTTCATCAATACAATTATTTTTTTCCTGGAGCTGCGTTGCTCCTTTTTTGAACAAAAATTTAGAAATATTGCAGCGCTTCGCGTCCCAAGGTTTGCCACTGACTCTGTATCTTCTTGCATAAAAAAACTTTTTCTTTCAATTGAGCGAGTTTTACTCTGGTACAGAAAAGAAGGAAGGAAAAGAGATAGAAGAAAAGAGAGAAGTTCGGAAGGAAAATAGAGAAGAAAAGAGAGAACAAAAGAGGGAAGAAAAGAGGGGAGAAAAGAGGGGAGAAAAGAGGGAAGAAAAGAGGGAAGAAAAGAGGGAAGAAAAGAGGGAAGAAAAGAGGGAAGAAAAGAGGGAAGGAAAGAGGGAAGGAAAGAGGGAAGGAAAGAGGGAAGGAAAGAGGGAAGGAAAGAGGGAAGGAAAGAGGGAAGGAAAGAGGGAAGGAAAGAGGGAAGGAAAGAGGGAAGGAAAGAGGGAAGGAAAGAGGGAAGGAAAGAGGGAAGGAAAGAGGGAAGGAAAGAGGGAAGGAAAGAGGGAAGGAAAGAGGGAAGGAAAGAGGGAAGGAAAGAGGGAAGGAAAGAGGGAAGGAAAGAGGGAAGGAAAGAGGGAAGGAAAGAGGGAAGGAAAGAGGGAAGGAAAGAGGGAAGGAAAGAGGGAAGGAAAGAGGGAAGGAAAGAGGGAAGGAAAGAGGGAAGGAAAGAGGGAAGGAAAGAGGGAAGGAAAGAGGGAAGGAAAGAGGGAAGGAAAGAGGGAAGGAAAGAGGGAAGGAAAGAGGGAAGGAAAGAGGGAAGGAAAGAGGGAAGGAAAGAGGGAAGGAAAGAGGGAAGGNGGAGAAGAAAAGGGAGAAGAAAAGGGAGAAGAAAAGGGAGAAGAAAAGGGAGAAGAAAAGGGAGAAGAAAAGGGAGAAGAAAAGGGAGAAGAAAAGGGAGAAGAAAAGGGAGAGGGGGCGAGAGGAAGAGAAAGAAGAAGAAAGAGAGGTAGAAAGAGAGGTAGAAAGAGAAGAAGAAAGAGAAGAAGAAAGAGAAGAAGAAAGAGAAGAAGAAAGAGAAGAAGAAAGAGAAGAAGAAAGGGAAGTAAAGACAGAGGAAAAGACAGAAGAAAGAGAAGGAGAGACAGAAGAAAAGAAGAGGAGAGAAAGAAGAAAAGACAGAAAAGAAGAGTAGAGAAAGAAGAACAGGAAGAAAAGGGAGAAAGGGAGGAAATAAAGAAGAGCAAAAAGAACAGAGAGAAAAATAGAAGAGGAAGAGCTGGGAGAAAATAGAGAAAAAGAGAAGAGAAAGAAGAACAGGGTGGAAAGAAAGAAGAACAGAAGAGAAAGTAGAACAAATAAAGAACAAAAATCCAATTAACTTTCGTATTCTACTTTCAGTCCCTCCCCCTCCCAAATGGAGATCAGTCTTAGGGATTTTAAATATTTTATCGCCCAGTATTATTAGAACGGGGGGCGTACGATACCGCAGCTTTTGGTTTGGGGTCGCAGTGGTGCTTGCACTTCCGTCAGCCGGTCGGCAGCCATGGCATCCGTTGAAGGCCGAAACCAATGACCCAGGACCCGGGTGCACGGTAAGGCCTGAGGGCGGTAGAGGAAACCCCTTCGGCAGATGAAAATGTCTTCGAGTTGGCAGGGGTCCATAATGGCGAAACGAATAATTGAAACCTCTTCATCCTCTCTGTTTTTCTTTCAGTTTTCGTTAAAGAGTGAATTGGTATAGGTCTAATGGGTAACTGAATATTTTCTTAACTTTTCTTGATATTTCAATCGCACAACTCTCACGAAAATTCTATTCCCTCTTCTTTCAGCAAAAATTCCCATCCATTCAGGTGACTTCTTATATGATTATCTTCATTTCGTTTCTCTTCCTTTTAATTAGTAATGATAGTTGCATAATTGGTAGTTATTTTTCCGAGCAATGAATTAGAGCTACTTACCCCTACCGTTTTTATCAATTCACTTTTTGTTTTGGGGGTAAAATGCTCCTTTCTTTGACATAAATTCATTACTAAATAGAATGAAGGATGAGTACGGAAATAAGTGACTTGCGGGGGGGGGGGGGAAANGGGGGGGATAAAAATAAATGAATAAAAAGTAAAATAAAATATCCGATGTAGAGAGTGAAAATGAGATGCTAAAAGTGCAGTAGAAATTTTAAAAATTGAGTTTGATGCCATTAAACAGTATTGTCGCCGTAATACCCTTGAGACCCAAGGTGTTCATTCGCTTGCCCTGGTAGCGTCGCCCAGGCAGACCCGTGAAATTGTTACGCGTGTCGGCAGAGCTCCCAATATTTATGTTGCCCCGGATGTGTTAGATTACTGCCACCGATAAAAAAAAAATTGAAGGAATGGCAAGCCGCCTGCATTAATTTTTGAATTCGCCCGGATATTTGATAGAAACAATTTTTTAATCAAAGGAAAAACCGTAAGTTCAGCTGCACAAATTTTGAGTTGCAATGCACGTCCAATGCTCTTATTTACCTATGTCCTAGCCTGACTGCTCATCGGAGCAAGCTACGGTTTTTAGCACCTCAAAAGAAATATCAGCTCCATCATGAATACTTGTGGGTAAGACATGATGGGGATATACGGACGAGAAAGGATGAGGTAATAATAAAAGAAGGACTTTCCAAATTTAATATGCATGTAGATTTAAAATTAAAAGATAAATTATTTCATATAGCTTATGTCAATAATGAATCATTTGCATCTTGTTTGTGTAAATTCGTAGTAAAGTAGTAAAAAATTACTTTGATGTAAGTGCCCTCACCGAGACACGAATAAAGAGATGAAAAAGAGATGATAAGGGGATAAAATGAAGAGGAAATGAAAAGAAGAGGAGATGAAAAGAAGAGGAGATGAAAAGAGGAGATGGAAAAGGAGATGGAAAAGGAGATGGAAAAGGAGATGGAAAAGGAGATGGAAAAGGAGATGGAAAAGGAGATGGAAAAGGAGATGGAAAAGGAGATGGAAAAGGAGATGAAAAATGAGATGAAAAATAAGATGATAAGGAGATGATAAGGAGATGATAAGGAGATGATAAGGAGATGAAAAGGAGATGAAAAGGAGATGAAAAGGAGATGAAAAGGAGATGAAAAGGAGAGGAGATGAAAAGAAGAAGAGATGAAAAAGAGGTGTAATGAAAAGGAGATGAAAAGGACATGAAAAAGGAGATGAAAAAGGAGATGAAAAAGGAGATGAAAAAGGAGATGAAAAAGGAGATGAAAAAGGAGATGGAAAAGGAGATGGAAAAGGAGATGGAAAAGGAGATGGAAAAGGAGATGGAAAAGGAGATGGAAAAGGAGATGGAAAAGGAGATGGAAAAGGAGATGGAAAAGGAGATGAAAAAGGAGATGGAAAAGGAGATGGAAAAGGAGATGAAAAAGGAGATGAAAAATGAGATGAAAAATAAGATGATAAGGAGATGATAAGGAGATGATAAGGAGATGAAAAGGAGATGAAAAGGAGATGAAAAGGAGATGAAAAGGAGATGAAAAGGAGATGAAAAGGAGATGAAAAGGAGATGAAAAGGAGATGAAAAAGGAGATGAAATGAAAAGGAGATGAAATGAAAGAGAGATGGAAAGGAGATGAAATTAAAAAGAGATGAAATTAAAAAGAGATGAAATTAAAAAGAGATGAAAAGGGGATGAAAAGGTGATGTTAATGAGATGAAATGAAAAAGAGCTGAAACGAAAAGAAGATGAAATGAAAAAGAGATGAAAAGGGGATGAAAAGGTGATGATAATGAGATAATAATGAGATGAAATGAAAATGAGATGTAAAGGGGATGAAAAGGGGATGAAAAGGCGATGATATTGATATGAAATGAAAATGAGATGAAAAGGGGATGATAATGAGATGAAATGAAAATGAGATGAAAAGGAGATGAAATGAAAAAGAGATGGAAAGGAGATGAAATTAAAAAGAGATGAAAAGGGGATGAAAATGTGATGATAATGAGATGATAATGAGATGGAATGAATATGAGATGTAAAGGGGGTTAAAAGGGGATGAAAAGGGGATGATAATGAGTTGAAATGAAAATGAGATGAAAAAGGGATGTAAAGGTGATGATAATGAGATGAAATAGTGATGATAATGAGATGAAATAGTGATGATAATGAGATGAAATGGTGATTACAATGAGATGAAATGGTGATGATAATGAGATGAAATGAAAACGAGATGAAAATGATTGGGGGGGGGGGG